TGGAATCTAAAAATGTGATTGTCATCTTTTGAAGATTCTTTAGTAGCCAAACCCTTTTTTTGTTATGGACTACTCTGCGAGAGATCGAGCACTAGGAACAACTACAATTGAGATACAAATAACTCCAAACCTAGCACTAATAGATGGATTAAATTTTAGAAATAGTTTTATACTAGTTTTCATACTTTTATAATTTAATGGTTTTTGTTATATAGCCATGGAGATGATGATTTCTGTTCTATTTTTGTGCATTCCTTCTATTTTTGTGGTGAAGAAATATGCTCGTGCTTTTTTAAGCAAAAATCTGGTCATGCTTGGACATGTGCTGCTGCTAGAGCACATGCTTGTCGGCATTCGGGTGAGCCTTGGCCTCGAAGTGCAGGTATCTTCCGTCTCATGAAGCGGGCATAAGGTTAGTAGTGGCTATCAGGTCATGGCACCGAGAACCGGGAAGCAAAGGATCTGCATCGAGTGGTGGAGAGTTGTGCTGATTTTTTAGTGGTATTGGCTGGATGATTGGTGGAGATGGAGAGGTGTGTGGGTGGTGAGTGGAGCACTCGATGTCCAGGAGTAGAAATTGTATTTACTTGATTGTTTGTTGTTTGTATCTTGCTTGAACCGCTGCGGTAGAGTATGAGATAATTGTCATTGTTCACTTTGCTATGTCGGCTATCAAAGCACGCTGTGAAGCAGAAATTGTTTTTTTAAATCTTTATATATATTGCTTGTGTCCTGTATGAATATTTTCTGACTGAACTGATATCATCACTTCCCTAAAATTCCAAATGGTGGTGAGAATGATGGAGAGGTGTGTCATTGCACCAACGCTTGCGATTGAGGCGTGGCAGAGAGAGAATGGTGGGGAGACATTTGCTGTTGCTTAAGTGTGTAGCCAAGCCAAATTTTGGATGCTTTATTTTACCAAGCAAATTGTAGTGTAGTTTGTGTTTTTCTGCTTTGCCTATGCTGCTAGATGATGTGGTGTCGATTTGCTTGATTGATAAAATCTTCTAGTGTGAGGAGGTCATAGGGTTAGAGATTGGTGGTGTTTATGTTTGTCGTGTTGGGTTGAGCGAGGTAGCTACGTCCCATGCTGCGCGCCATGGTGTAGCAGCCTGAGCATTAGGGCAATTTGTTATTGTTATTTGTGTCCAATGGTTTTTAGGTCAACAATGGTGCTTGCTTTTTTTGCTTGGGTTAGCTCAGCTATTGGATCTGATTGCTCTTGATCTATAGAACTGGTTTTTGCTTGTGTGCTTGTTCAATGGTTTATTTGATCTATAGTTGAAGAGATGAATGTACCACAACATATTGCAAAAATCGAAAAGGGCTGCTCTCTACCTGAATGTGCTGCTTACTGATCTATTATTGGTTTTTATCCTTAACAAAATGCTCAGCAATATAGATTGTCATCATATATGTGTAAGGATATTTTTTACATTTACCAATGCTTGTGCTTTTCAACCGTCAGATTTCTTGCTTTTGGGTGGTGGTCTAGCCATGTTTTATCCTTGTGCAGGTCCTCTACTAAACCTATTTCCTGATATATTTAAATAAATCACTGGTGTTTCATGTACATGCACAGTTTATTTCAAAATTATTCCTCATCATTGGTTTTGTATTGCTTGGCTGTCTTGTTGCTGTTGTAGTAGAATAGTAGGAACTCACATCTTTTAACTATGTGTTGCATATATTGTACAATAAAATGAATAAATATGTGTGCAGTGTCCATTTCTTGATTGCACATTTATAAGTAGTAAATTGCACACTTAAATTACTACAATTATGGTGTTTAACATGTGCAATATCCGGTCTTTATATGTAACTTTCCCACTATTTTGTTTTTCTTTTTATATTTCATTAAGCAAGAAAAACATATGTTTAGAAAGCTTGCACTAGGAAAACTCTTTACTCTAATAGTCCAAGTGTAGCATCATTTAGATTGTTTGATGATGAATAATATTGCTCTAACCTGGATCAGTGCTTGTAGCTGAATTATATGGCTGACTGCTTCATTTCATGCTTTGTTACCTAATTTTTGAAGGCTAATGTGTATTTAGGAAGCATGGTCTTCTAGTTTTATCATTAGTTATATTGTACCTATTAGTTTAGTTGCATGTTTGAGGATCTGAATTCCGACATGTTTGGTTACTCTGATGCCTACTTACTTTTGGTAGCCTCATCTTGTCTTTAGTAACTCATGTGTTGTTCTTGTTCCGGTCTTAATTGTAAATCATCAGTTACATGGTAGAACGTGTCATGGGTACGGGCTCATTTGGGATTGTCTTCCATGTATGGTGCTTGGTCGTGGGTGCTCTTCTTTGTAGGTGCCTAATATTGGTTGATGCAACATGTATTAAATTCGTGGGGCCTGAATTGTTATTTTTCATTGTTTTTTGTTTTCTTTCTGTGATGTTCTCTCTTTCCCTTTTCTCTAGCTTCAGTTTTGATTGGTTTCCAATAGTTTCCGTAGTTCCTAGGGCCCTACAGAATTTTGAAAAATTTGTGATCTGCTATTTTATTTTGAGCAAATTGTACGACACTACGGACTGACAGAGATGATGTAATATTTATAGTTCTCAGAACACTGCCCACTGATAGATAGAGATGAAGCAATATTGTCTGGCATTTGATCTGTAGTTTTTCCAAAAGAATTTTTACCTGATGTTGTCATGTCCTTTTGAGTGTATTGTATTTTACATCGTTCTTGGTCAAAATTAGTAGACTAAAACCAGAACTTGTATCCAATAATAGGCTGCAGGCTCAACTCTTAGACATACTCCTATATAATCCATTTGTAATAGTCCAACATAGCCGCTGTGCTTTCCTTTTCTCCTATAACTGTAAGTAATAAAAATAGAGTCAGTGAGGGATTTATCCCCACGCCCACAAACTGCGCAACTAGATGAAACAAGCATTTTTCCCTAGTACCTTCGATAAATTCGAAGCCAACATGGTAGTGTATCTGACCTTTGTAGTCAACTATAAGTTGGTGTATGTACCTAGCCTTCTCATTTTGTTTCTTCTAGAAGTGGACCGGCAACATCAGCTTGGAGGACTAGTCGTTTCTCTTAGCTGTTGCCAGACCTTCAAATATCAAGTTGGAGAGACTTTCTCGTTACCAGCTGCAAGATTTTTTTGGAAGAAGCAACGTTGGAATGAAGATCAAAACACAGTAGCCCACCTAACATAAATAGAATTATAAATTATTTATTGTCTCTGTGTCCATACACATCAGGTTTTTGCGATTGCTTGCTTGTATGTGTTTTCGTGTGTTAGTAGGAGAGTCGCGGATGGAAATATGTGTTGTTAGTTAAGTTAATCTCCACTGCTTCCATGATTTAGTTATAGATGACTTTCCTCCAAACAATAGAAGCCCTTCTCCTATGTTGTGGACGGAACGCTCCTAGAAGGCTAGAACTGTGTTAAAATAGATCAGCATTATGTCATTGTTTGATGTTCATCAACTAGATGCTTGTGTAAATTAGTTTACAGTGGGAGAAGGTTATGTTCTGTGCTTGCTGTCAACTAGTTGTAGTGCTTTGTTCCTGTTAATCACTCTTGTTCATGAAAACCAAACAAATGAAATTGCAAGTGAATTAATTGCAATTAGCAATAATGTAAATTGCAAGTATTGAGCACCGCAATTGTAGTTCTGAGCATATGCAATCTGTGGAAATTTAACTTACCTCATGAGTATACTTGATATATACATTGTTCGAAGCAAATTTGTAATAACTTTCAATGTTTATTTTGAATAACCAACCTGCAGATCAAAAGAGAAATGGATTAGCTTAGAACTTAGTAGTTCATATATTTAATGCCTCATGGTTTGTCTAAGGAGGGTGAGTAAGGGCATAAGATAGGTTGAATGGCATAGTCATTGGACCCAAATTTCCTTAAATACCTATTCAGAATCTATGTTAGTTGTTATCTCTGAAACCTAAGTAAACATCATACTGAAACTCCTCTCACAAAGCATGTGTCATGATCGTGGGGGAAGTGACCGGATAGGATAGGAATGGGAAGTCGCCGACCGTTCGGCCACTGGTTTCCTACCTGTGGTGGCTGGTGTGGGGAACAGTAGGGAGATGAGAGAACAAAGAAAGGAGATGAGAATAGGAATTGGGTTGTCATTGTCTATTTATTCCTTGATCACCACTGCATATAAAGGAGATTACAGCTTCATTCTCTCCTAATTAAACTCTTTCCTCTCCCTAATTCAAGCCTTCCTGATTTGATCCATTGATCCTTTCCCACCTAATCAGCCCTACGACAACGCCTATAGTTATTACCAACCATAACATCTCTCTCCTCCTTTGGAAAGAGCTCGTCCTCGATCAAGGGTTTAATTTGTGTGATATTTTCTGTAATATCATATTGCTTCCATATTATAATTATGTTAATTGTGATTTGTGCCGGCACACATCACTTTTTGTCATTGTCCTTTCATAGAAAAAATTATTTTTTGTGATTTGTGGCAACACATCTCAGATATTTGTCTTTGTCCTCCTGTAAAAAAAAAATGTATTTTGTTAATTGTGATTTGTGCTAGAACACACCACAGTTATACGTTGTGTTTTGCGGCATATGTTATCTTTGTGTTGTGTGGTATCTGATTGTTGGTGGCATACTTGTATGTTTGCTAAATTCTTGTTTGTGTTTTGCGTGTATGTTATCTTTGTGTTGTGTGGTATCTGATTGTGGGTGGCATACTGGTATGTTTGCTAAATTCTTGTGTAAACCCATGGTGTTGCAGATTCTTGCGGAAGGGATACAAATCCAGGGGCGAAGCTACGCTTTGCTGTTGGGGTCAGCTGACCCCGGTGAATTTGTGCAAACTTAGTGACAGTTACTGTTCTACACTGTTCTCTAAAGAGAAAGACCCCAACATACATTATTCCTGACCCCGGCGCCAGTTTCGCCTGGCTTCGCCCCTGTACAAATCCATGTCTGAAAACCCATCTCAGACAATTGTCTGTAGACTGAGGAATCCAGCAATGTCATCTGCATCCTGGACAGCTGCTTCGGCAGGTGACGCCCAGCACCAGTCGGTTCATGCTGTCGGGGGCTCCAGTAGAAGCCAGTTGGTGCACCGAAGGCACGGTGGTTCTCCAAGGGCATCTCCAGTGATTGACCTCAACGAGGCCTGTGAGCCGGTACAAAATTGCGATAAACCTCATTTCACTTGCTGCAATAGCTCTCAAGTTTGTCAGTTATCTCAACCAGTTTCTCTCATTTCAGGGTTATGAGGAGATGGAAATCGAAGAGCACCATGGTTACAGGGCCCCTCTAGGCTTCAACAAGTCAAAGAGGTATCTGATGGAAGGTGATGCTGCTGCCGGCCCAAGCCAGGTGGGAATGCCTGTGTTCTGGGATGTCCAGAACCCAGCAGGGCGATCTGGGAAGAGGAAGATCTCATGGCAGCATCAGTTGGCCCTGAGAGTATAGGTAAATGACAATGTTTAGCTCTAGTACAGTAGTAGTATTCTAGTAGGATCAGTATGTGCCATTACCAGCCTGGTAAATGTAAAGGGATGGTTGGGACAATTTCAATGGTTATCTGCTCATGTTTAGTGATGATGAAAACATAGGCTGTTGCATGATAAAGTAGGCGGGTGCGGGTGTGTGTGATGAATCACCGAAATCTTATGGTTTCTTTTTATTTGTGTAGGCTTGTTTTGATCTTTAGACTACATCAAAACTTTCAAGTGCTGGATCTGCTTCTTGTGCACATTGAGCAACCAGGGCCACGCCTTGTTGTTGTAGTAAGCACAAGCAGCAGGCCATCTTTGCTATCTGAATATCTTTTTCATGGATCTACATTCCTATGATCTGAGTTGCTATTGTTTTTTTTTCTTTTATAAAAAGTAAATTTAAAAGATTGGAATCTAACCTTCGCTGATGAGGTATAGATCAGTCTTGTAGTGCTTCTTCTTGAAATTTTCTGTTCTTCTTTGCAATCTGATGTCTGCCCCTTTCCCCTGCTCTGCGTGAGCAGAGAAGTGGCTTTCCCACGCAGCAGATCTATTTTTTGCTTTGCTTCTCTCCTAACGTCTTTATATTCCTATGTATTTTAATTTTGGACTTTTATTATGGACCGCTGCTGTTAAATGGATCAATTTATAATTTTAGTTAAATGGGCCAATTTGTTAAATGGGTCAACTTTGATTGCACAGAAATTATAATAGATTTCTTTTACGTGGGCCTTCTTTAAAAATCTATTGGTTTAGAGGCAGACAACAAACGTGTGCTAACTTGTTTTAAAACACACAGTTTCTTCTCTGTTGGAAATCATGTGTTATGCAGGCAATCAATAACCACATGTGCTAGCTTGTGCTAAAACACATAGTTTTTCCTCCGTTACAAATCGTGTATTTTACAGCCAATAAACAACCATATGCTACCTTTTGTTGAAACATATGATTGTTGCTGTAGACAACTCCGTTACTATTGCCGATGGATCGACATGGATGGCGCGCGTCTCAGTCACGGGGGCTGGCTGCAGTATACGTACGTGTCCATGCCCTGCTCCAACGGCGGGCGTCTCCGACGATCTGATCGGCGACCCCGCTGGTTGGGCAGGCACTCGATGGCTCCGATCGATCCGTGTCCGGCCGGCACGAGTGCATGCGGTGTGCTTGTGCGCACGCTCTCGCCATCCTGCCGCCATTACCCATATCGGTCACTTCTTCCATGCATCCACCGCGCCAATACGATTCACTGTCGTTCCACAACATATACATGTACTGTACTGCTAAGGAGGATTATTTACTACAGCATTTTATTTATTATTAACTAATTAATTATATATTATTAAGCAGATGCATCAGATTTTTGGGGTTCTAATGCTACGCCACTGGTGGCAGCTACAGTACGCTCCGGCATAGGCGACAGTGGCATGGCATCGATCGATCGAAGGACGACGAGTTCATTCAGACAGGTCCAAGGTACCTATCGATCGTCTCGCTCTCGCGTCAGAGACGCTCGCAGCACTGATTCCCGTCGATCCCTGTACGTCGAAAGCTTTGGAGAACGTACATTTCCCGCTGAAATGAAAAGCATAGCCAGTAGTAGGCCAAAACGTACAGTGCGGAGCTGTTGCCTTAATCGTGTTCTAGTCTGGTGATGACGCAACAGCCAGCCAAATATTACTCCCTCGGTCCCTCTCCCTCCTAAATAAAACTCTAAAACAAATACCCTTTTTTATATATAATTATATATAAAAAAGGGTATCAACGTATAATAATGATCACACGCTGAAAATAAAGAAACTAATGGCATAATGTAGTCCATAAGTTAAAAGTACTTGTATCGTGGAACAAATTTTAAACGCTACAAGTGTAGGTGAAATCAAGGAAAACTGTGAATATATACTCTGCCCTAAATTGTGCTTGTGCTCCCTCTGTCCCAAAAATAATATAATTTTAGGATCCATGACAGTCAAGCTAACTCCGGTTTGACCAAATTTATAGAAAACAATATTAGCATTTATGTCTCCAATTTATGAAAATATATTCTATAATTAATTTAATAATACTTATTTTGTATCATAAGTTTTAGTAGTTCTTTATATAATTTTGATCACAGTTTAAATCAGTTGACTCATCAAAAAATGAAAATTGCATTCTTTCTGGAATAAAGAAAGTAAGTCATTCTGATTTTTCTCTCAATATATAGCTTTTGATATGTATCTATATATGTATACATATGTAGTAAAAACTATATATCTCCCATAAAAAAACTATATATCTAAAAAAGTCAGAACAACTTCTAATTTGAAAGTTTAAAAAAAAAATTGGAACGATGCACATCTATAGAGGTGTATTGTCATAAAATTTGATTTTCAACTCAACCTAGAAAAATCATACGAAAGTGACAAATTTAATTGCATATATGTAAAAAAAAGACAGTCACGAATTTCACAAAAACGAGTTTGAATCTCAATTTTTATAACAATGTAGATGTACTATAGGTGTGCATCGTTTCACTTTTTTTATCAAAAAAACTCATAAGTATATTTTGTGGAGTTTTCACGGTTCTATAGAAGAAATGGAAGGTTTGTGTTGAATATGGGTATGTTTGGTTGCTTGGTTCCTTTGCAAAGCTCATTAGTGTGGCCGCCGGTGCATGAGTATGAAAAGTCCCTAGTCAAGATTATAAACAAGGACTGACTGCGACATGCGCCACCCAGATCCAGAAAAATCATCGACCATTCCCTAAAACTCAACACTAAAATCAAGTAAATATATGCCAGAGGAGAAGCAAAAACCACGAAGTGTAATAAAGGAAAGTTGGATTAGTCAACAGATCCAGTCATAACCAACACTAGAACAGACAAGAAACAACTGGTTCTGAATAAATAGAAAGACTTGTGTTACAAGGACGAGCAAATAGAAAGAGTTCTGGTTCGCGCCCTTGGTTACTCGCCTACGAGCACTTGGGGAGGGGGGTGACCTCCCCGGAACCCCAGCGGCGACAGAGAAGGCACAGGGAGAGAGCGAGAGAGCAGCGACGCGTGAAGGAGTGGTGAATGAGAGCAGTAACCCTAGCAGGTGGATGCTGAAGGCAGGTTTTATTCGGTGCACAGTGGAAGCCACATAGGCCCACCCACGTGCGCCCCAAGCGAAACCAAGCTTCGGGGAAACGCCCACCTGCTCGTTTCCAGGAAGCCTGGCTACGAACCCCTCATGGGCTTGCGGTATCCACAAATTGCACTTTTAACTAATTCACAAAGGATCATAAACATGCATATACACAAATTAGAAAACTTTAGTTATAATGTTTTGTGTTGAGAAATGTTCAGGATAGTGAAATACTATGGATTCAAAGGTTTGGGTGGATCTTTTCTCATGCAATTATACAAGTGCACTAATAATCTCTGATCTCTTAAACAAGATAATGGAGCTATGTTACAGTTGAAAGGTTACTAACACAAAGATTTTGCTGGCCCCATACAGTTATGGTTCCACATCTCTAACTGCAAAACCAGGCAACAAGATCCGTGAACTGTTAAAAGCTTCACCCGCACAACCAGGTAACCAGAAAACTCCGGCAAATTTCATCCACAAAATCACATAAAATCAGTAAACATTGGAACCAAATTGGATCTGCCAGCTGAGGAAAACTAACACAAAAAGTATAAGCTTAGTCACTATCCTCTTCTTCCCGCTCTTCATGCTGGGCCACAACCTTCTCTATGAACTTCCTGCGAACACCTTCGATGACATTGTCCCGAGATGAATCGCTGCCACCATGCCCATCATTCAGTACCGGGTCTGACTGGCAAAGGGCTAACGCAACAGCTGAAAGGAACATAACAGTGACTTAGTGTAAATAGATGAAACCCATGTATATTGCTGGGAAAAGAATTTCTGGAACGATGTTGAGGTAAAGGAAAGCCCATAAATTTAGTGTAATCTAAATGTGAAAGATTATTCTCTAATTTCTTATTACAGAAAAGGATCAATGATATGCTAAGATCTGGGAACCAGCATGCTGCTATTTTAGACAAACAACATCGAAATATTTGACACATGAAACAACGCAGACAAATCAAGACTGGATCTGGGGAGTGTATGCATTAAGGCACGCAGGTCATAATGAATTGTTTACTATTGAATTTTTTTTTAAAAAAAAAAATTATCACCTGAAGGTCAAAATATTTTGCTTTAGTTAAGGAAGTTCAGGTGGTATATCCAAAAGGAAGTGGATTGTGGGGGCTAAATGGCATAGGCCAATATGCCATTCATAAATTTACAGGTGTGGGCTCAAAAAGACCTATCAACAGCACATAGAATTGGAGCAACTGGAATCAATCAACTAACGGGAAAAGCAGATACTGAATACTAATTTGCAGTATACGAGTAGTAACTTACATTCAGGTGTGCATCTATTTCCACCAAACTTCTGCAAACCAACATAAGTCCCTTTGACAGCACTGTTGTTATACACCAGTATTGTAGGAACATTCCTATCTGGGTAGTTGGGGATGCAGTCTGTGGAGATAATTTTAACAAACTTTGTCGCTGGGTATCTTGTAGCCAATTCCTCCAAACAATTCTGAAGCAATCCACATTCAGGTATCCTGTCATCAGATTTATAGAATTCGATAAGCGCCACAATTTACTAAAGAACATCATGCTTCATGCATCATATCAGGTATGGAGCTCATTACACTCCAATGAATTCAGATATCCTTTCTGTACAATTTTGATGCAAGCAACACATGGAAGCAGTAAAACATCATACAGAAAAGAGCAACAATTTCATGGAAGATCCTCCATGCTGAAAAACTGCAGCATGACAATCAACTAATTACATTACAGCTTAAAGTGGTGGACAAATCAACAGGACAATGTCCACTAAATCCAAGAATTGCCAAGCTATCTATTTGTTATATGGTCATGAAAGCATGCTCACTTCTTTGTCAGTTCCACCTCCTTTGAACCCTGCAAGCAACTCTGGAAGTCTTGGGTGCCGCTTCGCTGAAGTTCTTCCTGTGGCTAGCGGGGCACAACAGATGCTGGACGGCGGATAGACTGGCAAATCGCGGTCTGATGCACTCATCTTGCTGCCCACTTAGCGACCCAGGAGGAAGGAATTGAGCACCTCATGTCAACCTGAGTCTTCTCCCGCCAGGTTTGGTCCACTGCCCACAGCCTACAAGCACTAGCACCATCCGGGCACGACAGCTTCCAAACATGGTGGTGCAAGGCGACACATAGGGCTCCAAAGGTGGCGAGGAAGGGCCTCAATTCACTGGTGCTCTTCCTGGCGTGGACTCTATGGAAACAAAGAAACCAATGTGTATTTGATGGAATCACACAGTCGGTCTAGGCAGTAATCCAAGAGGCAAGCGATTAAGCACATTTCTAGACCATGGCAGGCGCGAAGGCCACGTGTGCTGCTAGAGCGAGCTGAGTAGGCGACAGCTAGTAGGGGCTGCATGTATTGTTTAAATGGTTGTGTTCATGCAAAAAAAAAACCCTAAGCCAACCGTGGAATCGGTTTGTAGTCGGACAATTTTTTCTATCTATCAATGAAACAGCATGCAACTCTCCAGCATGTTCGACAAGTAAAAAGAAAGCATGTTCACAGATCATATATATCGAAGGTACGAGCTGCTGGGACCTCACAGCAATAAAATGTCTGGCTACGAGCCAATGACACACAACACAAGTATCAGAATTCCTATATCCAGCCAACCATAGTCAAATTTCATAGTTGCCTAGTCTTTTCAGGCAACTTTCAATAGAAAACCAACACAACTAAATAAAGTGCAGTCAAAGTCTGAATTTAGTTCAATCTGGTTCCAGAGCTGTTTGGTCGAATCATACAAAATAAACCCTAGAATTGTTCTCCCATGCATAATCATTGACATAGCATGCAAAAGGATGCAGTGAACTGTGAAGAAAGAGTTACCCATCCTTGTAGAGGAAGACCGCAACCCAAACATCTGATGGTGCCTGAGACACCTCCCGCACGAAGTCCGAGCCAGTGATGGGAACTATACTACCAAATCGCGCGGCTTTTGCTGCCTCCCTCAGCTCTGCGAGCCTCATCTTCCTGCAGGCATGGAATTACATCAAATCGTCACAATCAATTCCCACTTGTACCAAACGAATCGCAAAACGCATTGAATAATCCAAAGTCCGGAACTACTGCGAGGAATCCGGATCAACAATAGAAAGACATCAGATTCCTATCAGAAGCACACGAATTATACCAATTAACCACGCTAGTCAGATCAGATCAATCAAACGCGGCAGGCACTAAAGCTTCTTAAGATGCATCTAGTAACAGACGGGGAAAAGACAGCATCACGGATCAGCAATCAGACTGCAGACCGGATCAAGCCTACGGAGAGGCCCTACCTGTACTGCTCGAGGAAGCGGTCGTCGTCCAGGTCGTCCTCGAGTTCCTCGAGCTCTTCGGGCTCGCGCTCGTCGAGCCATTCCTTTGACTTGGGCTGCCTGTCGGCGTCGACCTTGGGGGCGAAGGGCGGCGGCTTGAAGGGCTCCGGCTTCGGAGGCAGGTTCCCAAGGCGGCGCTGGATGTCGTCCCACTCTGTGCTCCTCCCCTCCACGTCCTTGTACACGAAGTGATAGTCCGCCATGGCCGAGCACAAGGAGGCAGGAGCGCGCAGAGAGAGAGATGGAGGGAGGCAGGGGATGCGCAAAACCGCGGGGGAATGGAGAAGCGAAGTGGGGACGAGAAGGGACGAGAAGGGAGCGCGGAAGCACGACTGACGTGCGGGCCCCACTTCCTGGATCCTCTAGCAGAGCGGCTTCTGACAGGTGGAACCCTCGCGTCGGTGAGATGGCAACCAATTTCGCTGCGGCTCTATATAACAACAGCCCTCGTTGAGCCGCGCGCCTCCCTCTACCGCCTCCGCACCGCAGAGCCGCAGCGAAGCAAGCTGCGCCTCTCGACTTGGCCTCGCCGGAGAAGCGGAGCGAGTAGAGCTAGCAAGCAGTAGCCCCAGGTGCCGCGCGCGGAGATGACGGACGGCCACCAAACAGTCGGAGGGCGCGGTGCACGGTAAGCTCCGCCCGCCGTCGGCGGAGATGACGGACGGCCACCACTTCAACAACATCCTCCTCGGAGGGCGCGGTGGCACGGTAAGCTCCGCCGCCGCCGCCGCCGCCGCCGCTTGGTCGATTCTAGGGTTTGGTACGAAAATAGGATATCGCGAGATGACGTCGTGGCTGGCGAACTTCTGATAAGCTAGTGATTTTAACTGGTTAGCCCATTTTCCCCCCGACGATTAGCTGCGGCTGCGTATTGGTCGGGTTTTAGGGTTTGTGCCGTATTTTAGGCCAAATTTCGCTTTCATTTGTTTTTCTGCTCCATTTGGTTGACTCAGGTGCTTGGTTGGGGGGCGTTTCCTCACTCTGACTTGTTGGATTTCGTTGTTGTGGCCTGGGTTTGGTCAATTTGTGCCGAGGTTTTCATGCGAAACCTTAGATTCCTATGGTGGTTTTGGGGGCTAGAGTGTTTTCTAGGCTTGACAGCTGCAGAATACAAGGACGCCTATATCTACTAGTAGGAAATTACAAATCTCTTCTCCGTTTTTTTGAAGCTTACAAGAAGAATACAATACAACATGATGCCTTTGTAGGGCTCCCCTTCTCTGCACGCCAAAAGAAAGCACACTCTCTCTGTGCTTATCAAATTATTGTGTTTCCATTGACACAATTAACGTTCGCCATGTTGTCGATGTCTTTTGTGTACTTATCTTAATGTACAAAACAATGCTTGCCCTAACCTAGATCCTATAATACATGGAACACTCTCACAACTTATGCATTGGAAAATGATCTAGTAATAATCTTATCTGACGCCTGACCATCTTTTGGTATTACCTATACTTATGAATCCTGAGACTAAATGTTTTGCATTCCTTCCGTTCAAGATCTATTACTGTTTCTGCTCCTGTGTTTGGCTGTTTGCTGCTCTTGAATAGTATACAATTTATTACTTTTTGTGAACGTTTAGAATATTAACATACTGGCATGACCCTTGCACCTATGCAGAACCCTGGTCAGTTTAAAGTGTATTCTGGTGGACTTGCATGGAAGAGACAAGGTGGAGGAAAGACCATTGAGATTGACAAAGCTGATGTAACCGCAGTTACTTGGATGAAAGTCTCCAGAGCATATCAGCTTGGAGTCAGGATTAAGGATGGCCTGTTCTACAGATTTATTGGCTTCCATGAATAGGTCCCCCCACTCTCCGCGCGTGCCTTTAATATTATGTAGTTTATTAATGGTGTTGGTATTGGAAATAAAGAGGCTGCTGCATCTGGAGAATTGTGTATTTAGAACACTTGAATCTGGATGCATTTCTCAGTAAAATTAGGATATATTTGTTGATGCAAAACTTATACAGTTAAAAGTAGCACTAGCTTTGTCTAGTTTTCTTAGAATTTTGGAAATCCACTTTGCTGACCAGATTTTCTATCTTAATATGGCATATGATTATAATGAATATCGCTTTAATATGAATTAGATCATGGAAAAGGAGAATGCTTAGTTTGCCCAAGTTACTCTGCTGTGAAACTGAATAGTTTCTGCCTTGCTATATGTGACATCTTATTTTGGTATATGTTTTTCATGTGTTGATTAAACCTTGAGCAGTTCGATCTTTATATCCACTAAAGCAAACTCTTCTTGTTCAAATTAAGGTGAACAGTTACTATATTCTTTCATGCCACTTGGTATGCCTGTCCTAAACAAGTCTTGCAGAATATGGTATCTTTTGTACATACTGTATCTATTATGTAGTTAAGACTTACCTATAGATAATATTTGAAGGAATATTGTTCATGATTCTGTATGCAGTGTTATTCAAAGATGGAAAATTCAAAATTATATTTGGATTATCAGATTTTCTTTGGATTTGGTTGTCTTAAAATATTGTCAGTCATTTCTGAGAGTATGCTTTGACTTTTCAGTAAAGATGAATGGTGAGGTTAATATATTTCTCTTATTGTTACCTGACGAAAATATTTGATCTTGTCCTTTCTTGCACAGGATGTGAGCAGCTTGACCAACTTCATACAAAAGAATATGGGCGTCACACCAGATGAAAAACAGCTTTCTGTTAGTGGCCACAATTGGGGAGGGATTGATATAGATGGTAATTTGGATGACCTTTTATTATTTTAACATGGGACCCCTTTTAACATATGTTCAGTTTGATTTTAATGTTTGTTACCCTTGCCTCTGTAGGAAACATGCTAACCTTTATGGTTGGTTCAAAGCAAGCATTTGAAGTATCCCTAGCAGATGTTGCACAAACCCAGATGCAAGGAAAAACAGATGTTCTCTTAGAGCTTCATGTTGATGATACTACTGGAGCCAATGAGGTTTGTAGTGGACAGTAGTTGTAGTGGATCCACTCATATTTTCTGCATTGCCATAGTACTGTGCTAACATTTTAATCCCTCATGGTTGCAGAAAGACTCCCTCATGGATTTAAGTTTTCATGTGCCTACTTCGAATACTCAGTTTGTTGGGGATGAGAATCGCCCTCCGGCTCACGTATGCTCACTCAGTAAGCACTGTTTAAATGAAGCACATTGAAGTTGCAAAATACTAACTAATGAAAACCTATCTATTTTCTGTAGATTTTATGGGAGACTATATTGAAATTTGCTGATGTTGGTTCTTCTGAAGAACCAGTTGTCACGTTTGACGGAATTGCAATTCTTACACCAAGGTGGAAAATATGAACCATTTACCTTATGAGAAACACAAGATTGTTGAGCTCAAAAAGCTAACGATTTTTTGTTTTGGCAATACAGAGGACGTTATAGTGTTGAGCTTCATCTGTCATTTCTGCGACTCCAAGGACAAGCTAATGATTTCAAAATCCAATACAGCAGCATTGTTCGCCTCTTTCTTTTGCCAAAGGTTCTGTTCTTGTATCCTATGTTGAGCTGTGCTTTATTGTTGTGCATAATATTACATTCTGACACTAAACCCATTGCATGGTTGAGCTTTGCAGTCAAACAATCCTCATACGTTTGTTGTTATCACTCTTGATCCACCAATCCGTAAAGGACAAACATTGTATCCTCACATTGTTATTCAGGTATTGCACTGCAATTTTTTCATAATGTTTAGTTGGTTATAGTCATATTACCACTTCATTTCAGGACTTGTTTTGAATAGATAGACTAATTTGTTCCCTTATCTCTTATTAATAGTTTGAGACAGAGGCAGTAGTTGAAAGAGACCTGGCATTGAGTAAAGAGCTGTTGGTTGACAAATACAAGGACAGGCTTGAGGAATCTTACAAGGTGGTGTCTGTTAATTTGAAAGAATACTGTTTACTTATTGACTTGATCCATTCCAGTTGAAGACTGAATCCTAGTTTCTAAAATAAAATTAACATGTTGAAACAAAATTTCTGAGTATGGCGAACTCTTATCTCAAGCATTGTGTATCCTGTTGAGAGATATTGTGGTCAGCCTCGAGCTTTTTCCATTAGCATAATGCATCTTGCCTTCTATGCTTTCTTAATAATTGTGCTATGCCTTTGCCAAATGTGTTTTGGATTTGAAGCTGATACGTGAAGTTAGGCTGAGCAAACACTTAATTACTCTTTTGATATGTATCCTATCCAAATCTGCAGATACTTCATTATAACCTGGACAGTGAGAATTCCTTTAATATTTTGCGCCCATCTTCTGTTATCAAGGGACTGTGCAACAGTGTGCTGTCTCCTTAATTCCATGTTCAGTATTCTCCATTATATTTTCATAATTTGAGAAAAGAACTATTTTAATACCTACTACTCTCCATATTGAGATAGTTGATCTAATTTACTAGGACTTCTAATATTAAAATAGATGTATATTGAGGAACTGAATACTAATTATTCCAAATGTTTTTTCATGCTCATCCATGCAATTTATGATCTGAATTTGTTTGGGCATTATGAGAGACAATATCAGTCGGGATAAATTGCAATGTTCTGCCTCCCCTTGCAGAAGGCTAAACCATAATATTTTAGATACGTTTGGGTTTTCGGGGGATGGTTGTAGTATGTGCTGCTATAATTATACAAAAAAGATTGAACATTGATAGTCTGAATTTCTGTGCTCTTAAGTCAATACTTGTGCTGATTTTATACAATATTGCATGCTTTTGGTGGTAATTTACTAGGTGGCTATTTTTTTCCTCTTCATGGTCAACTAAACTCCGCCTATGGTGGGGCGCCTTTGGTGTCCCAACATAGCAGGTCCCAAGCCCTGGTAAAGGAGGAGGGCTGTCTTAGGCGCAGTGAGCCAATGTAAAAACTTAGCCACTTTAATGGAGATGAAACCCAAAAGAATCCCGTTGGGGCGTAACCCTCTTAGCGACGCGCCATGTCGAAACCCGGGTATGGTGTTAAATGAGCAAGGGCCGGGTCGTCACCCTCGTGACGCGTCGTGTCGCGATGTGGACACGGTGTCAAGTGAGCAAAGATCGGGTCGTCGCATCCTCAGTGGCGCGCCACATCGGCGCCCGAGGGTGGTGCAAAATGAGCAAGGGTCTTCACACCTACCTCGGCGGGTGCGAAGGGTAAGGAAGCTAGTCAAACCAACTAGGATCTGTTTAGGTAGCTGGAATGTAGGGTCCCTTACAGGTAAGTTAAGAGAGTGGACAAAGCGGTCAGAAGGCGTGTAAATATCTTATACGTCCAAGAGACTAAATGGAAGGGGCAGAAGACGAAGGCGATGGACAATACCGGCTTCAAGCTCTGGGGCACAGGGACAACTTCAAATATAAATGGAGTAGGAGTTTTGATTGATAAGAGCCTCAAGGATGGTGTGGTGGAGGTGAGAAGGCAAGGGGATATGATCATCTTAGTTAAACTTGTCATTAGTGATATGGTCTTAAACGTAATTAGCGCGTATGCCCCCAAAGTAGGCCATGATGAGAGTGCTAAGCGGCTTTTCTGGGAAGACTTAAATCGCTTGGTTAGAGCTATCCCTAATAGCGAGAAGCTCTTTATAGGAGGTGATCTTAATGGCCATGTAGGTATATCAAGTGCAAGTTTCGAGGCGGTTCATGGGGGTTTCGGATATAGTAGTAGAAACCAGGAGGGAGAGGAAGTCTTAGACTTCGCCATAGCTTTTAATCTGATGATAGCTAACACTTTCTTCTGTAAGAGACGGTCCCATTTAGTGACCTTTAGTAGCGGCTAGTACTCTAGTCAAATCGACTTTGTTCTTACAAGGAGGGATAAACGAACATGCGTGGACTGTAAGGTGGAGAATGTGTGGTCGCTCAACACAAGCTGGTGGTGGCTGACTTCCGCTTTCTGGTGCAAGCTCGTGGGAACAAACAAGCTAGGGTTGCTAAAACGAAGTGGTGGAAATTAGAAGGGGAGGCATCAAAGGTCTTTAAGGAAAAGGTCATTGAAGAGGGTCCTTGGAATGATGAAGGTGATGCAAACAACATGTGGGAGAAGATGGCAACATGCGTTCGGAAGGTTGCTTTAGAGGTGTTTGCAGTGACCAAAGGGAGCGGATGCGACTCGAAAGACACTTGGTGGTGGAATGAAGATGTGCAAAAGGCTATTAAGGAAAAGGAGTGCTATAAGCGCTTGTATCACGACAGGTGTGTAAACAATATAGAGAAGTACAAGGTGGCAAAGAAGACTGCAAAACGAGCGGTGAGTGAGGCAAAGGGGCGGGCCTATGAGGACCTTTACCGACGTTTTGAGTACGAAGGAAGGAGAGAAGGACATTTATATGATGGCTAGGGCTCGCGATAGGAAGACTTAAGGGACTTCAACCAAGTCAAGTGCATAAAGGATGAGAGGGAGCAGCTCTTGGTTAAGGAGGAGATCAGACATAGATGGCAAGAGTATTTTGATAAATTGTTCAATGGTGAGAACGAGAACACCACCGTTCAGCTGGACGACTCGTTTGATGACACTAACAGGTGTTTTGTGCGGAGGATTCAAGAATCGGAGGTCAGAGAAGCCTTGAAAATGATGAAAGGGGGCAAAGCAATGGGCCCTGATGGTATCCCAATCAAGGTGTGGAGATGTCTCGGGGATATAGCTATAGGATGGCTAACCAAGATGTTCAACAATATCTTTCGATCGAACAAGATGCCTGAGAAGTGGAGAAGAAGCATATTGGTACCAATCTACAAGAACAAGGGAGATATCCAAAGTTGTACTAATTATCAGGGAATTAAGTTGATGAGGCACACTATGAAGTTATGGGAGAGAGTCATCAAGCAGCGCCTGCGAGGAACGACGCAGATATCAACAAACCAATTTGGTTTCATACCCGGAAGGTCAACCACAGAAGCAATCTTCTTAATAAGACAGGTTATGGAGCGGTTTAGAGAGCAGAAGAATGACCTCCACTTGGTTTTCATTGACTTGGAGAAGGCTTATGACAAGATACCAAGAAATGTTATGTGGTGGTCTTTGGACAAACATAAAGTCCCATCAAAGTACGTGACCCTCATCAAGGACATGTACAACAATGTTGTGACTAGTGTTCGAACAAACGATAGTAACACAGATTACTTCCTGATTAAAATTGGACTTCATCAAGGGTCAGCCTTAAGCCCGTATCTCTTTGTCTTGGTAATGGAAGAGGTTACAAGGAACATACAAGGGGATATCCCTCGGTGTATGTTGTTCGCTGATGATGTAGTGCTAGTGGACGAAAGCCAGGCGGGAGTAAATAAGAAACTAAAGTTATGGCGGCAGACCCTTAAGTCTAAAGGTTTTAGATTGAGCAGAACTAAAACCAAATACATGAGATGCGACTTTGGCGGAGTTGTACAGGAGGAGGGAGATGTTAGTTTGGAAGGTCAAGTAGTGTCTAAGAAGGATACCTTTCGGTATCTGGGATCGATGCTACAGAGAGACGGAGATATTGATGCGGACGTTAGCCATAGAATCAAAGCAGGGTGGATCAAGTGGCGACAAGCTTCTGGCATTCTCTGTGACAAGAAGGTACCATAAAAGCTAAAAGACAAGTTCTATAGAACAGCGATTAGACCGGCTATATTGTATGGAGTAGAATGTTGACACATGTTCAACAACTGAGTGTTGCAGAAATGCGTATGTTGCGATGGAATTGCGGTCACACAAGAATGGACCGAGTTCGGAATGATGATATACGTGATCGCTTAGAGGTAGCACCAATTGAAGAAAAGCTTGTCCAACATCGATTGAGGTGGTTTGGCCATGTCCAAAGGAGACCTCCAGAGGCACCAGTGCATTGTGGAGTCCTAAGCCAAGCTAATAATATGAGGAGAAATAGAGGAAGACCGAAATTGACATGGGGGAGCCAATAAAAAGATATTTGAAAGCTTAGGATATACCTAGAGATCTATGTTTGAATAGGAGTATTTGGAAAGCAGCTATTGAAGTGCCTGAACCGTGACTTGGGGCTCTTGGTGGGTTTCAACTCTAGCTTACCCCAACTTGCTTGGACTGAAAGGCTATGTTGTTGTTGTTGTTGTTGTTGTTCATGGTCAACTAAGGCTCCATGGCTTTTCACCTTCTTTATTTTTCTAAAAGAATAATGTATGCTGATGTTTGCAAGTGTGAAGATGTAGAGCTTAAGTTTTAGAAAGCCTTGAAAATTTTGCCATTTAGGCAATCTTCCATTTATTGGACTATGTCAGTAGCTAGTTCTATGCAACTCTCATGTCATTTATTTTTATTTCTTTTAACAAGTATGCAATCGATACTTGCTGGTAACTACACTAACTTATTCCTTTTTCTTACACTGTTCTCAATATATCCATAGGGTCTAATACATGAGGTATTTACCAAAGTCCTTCGTGGTCTATCTGGTGCTAAAGTCACAAGGCCAGGTTCTTTCAGAAGTTGCCAAGATGGATATGCAGTTAAATCATCACTCAAAGCTGAAGATGGACTGTTGTATCCACTTGAAAAGGGCTTCTTCTTCCTGCCAAAGCCACCTACACTCATTCTTCATGAGGAGGTATCAGTTTATATTTGTGGTTGGAACTCTCAGCGTCCATTCGTAGTAACTGCTGTTTATTACATTCTCAATGCAGATTGAGTTTGTTGAATTTGAACGTCATGGTGCTGGGGGTGCCAGTATATCATCTCACTATTTTGACCTCCTTGTCAAACTGAAAAATGACCAAGAGCATCTCTTCAGAAATATTCAAAGGAATGAGTACCACAACCTCTTCAACTTCATCAAGTATGTTGTCCCTTTTATTGCCTTCATCATCTTTCATGTTATACATAAACTTAAGTTCTCCTATCCTTATTTTTGACCTTTTTTTTAGTGGAAAGAACATTAAAATAATGAACCTTGGAGGAGATGGTCAAGGTGCAAGTGGTGTAGTTACAGATGTTCTACGAGACACTGATGATGATGCCGTTGATCCACATCTAGAGCGTATTAAGAATCAGGCTGGGGATGATGAAAGTGATGAAGAGGTACGCTGCCTTGTTGTTATGTTGCTTGATGCTGCCTTGTTAATCTTATTACTGAGCCCTTCTATGTACTTATTATTTATCTTCATTTTAGGATGAAGATTTTGTTGCGGATAAGGATGATAGTGGATCTCCTACTGATGACTCGGGTGATGAGGAATCAGATGCTAGTGATAGTGGTGGTGAAAAGAGGTATTTTTAAATTTATTGTTGTTGTAGACCTGTAGCAAGCCTGAAGCCATGATGTAATATGCAGTTGTTTTTCTCCACAGAAATCATCCAAGAAGGAAGCAAGCAGTTCAAAGCCAGTTCAGAAAAGGAAGCCTAAGGGAGGGATGACGAAGGACATGAGAAGAAAAAGGCAAAGAAGAAAAAAGATCCTAATGCCCCCAAAAGAGCAATGACACCGTTCATGTATTTCTCAATGGCTGAGCGAGGAGTAAGTTGCTTTGGTTAATCATTCCCAGCATATTAGGTCGTTTAGATATTTTGTGACACTGAGGGTAGAGCAGAAACCTTCCCACACTAGAAACTGATATTGGACAGAAGTTTAAAGTTTATTTTTGATGATGCAGAACATGAAGAGCAGCAACCCAGATTTGCCTACGACTGAGATTGCAAAGAAGCTTGGGGAGATGTGGCAAAAGATGTCAAGTAATATTCTAGATCACTCTCCATATTATCCTGAGTAATAGTATCAGCATTGTTTCATCTGTGAGGCAAATTTTGCAATGTTTTGTCATCATGTTTACAGCTAAAACAAAAGCTGTGTGCTTACGGTTCCCACGTTCCTTGTCATGAGCAGGCGAAGAGAAGCAGCCTTACATCCAGCAGGCCCAGGTCGACAAGAAACGTTATGAAAAAGAGTCCGCCGTCTATCGAGGTGAAGCTACAGCTGATGTGGATTCTGGCAACGAGTCTGACTAGATTCAAGCCCTTGGGCTGGCATGGTGGCACTGTTTGAAATTCTAGTGGCATGTACTATTATTATACGTCGGCAACTGTTGCCGTTGGGTGAAATTGCTAGCATGCGTGTGCGTGTGCCTACGGTGCCGGCACTAGTAGTTTGCCTCCAGCATTGCTGACAGTAAAGAGGGGGTTTCTTGTAGCGTAACTCTGCAGGGCAAAAGGTTGTACGAGTGTAGTCTAGTGACTTTTGTGTAAAAACCAACATACGTGGTTTATGTGAGATGGTATTGCGTTAAAGCTTATTTATTTTTCCTCGACGGACGAAAATTTAACTATTGATTGATGATGGCTGTTTTGCCTGATCTCGTTGGTGAAAATTCCAACAGATCCAAACACGCGGTGCCTGCCATCACAAGGGTACAAGCTCCCAAGGGAAGAGTCCTGGCCTCCTGGGGAATTTGTTTGGTGTCCCGGTGTTTGTCATAGGCAACTGCTCGCTCGCAGCACGCTCTTGGTCCAAACTTAAGAAAAGGACGCCCCATCAAGGATCTGTTTGGTACGTTCCCTCAGCTTGCCACACCATAAGGGCTTCACCAACGCAGGCTACGAGCTTGTGGGCCTCAGCCAAAAGCAATGGTACTGATAGTTAAAAAAAAAAAGTAGAGCTGTCAAAACTCACATCGAAGGCAGCTGGTTTGGTGTGATCCAAGCGGATAGCTTTATCTCCCTCTCTGCTGCAAGTATTCAGCTTTTATTTTGTTGGGGACCAGTGGAGGCAGCTCACTTCCTGGCTGCAACGCGCGCTACAAAGGATGCGCACTGCGGGACCACTACTCATGATGATTTAGACTAGAGGCGCAGACGTGAAAGCTGAGATAGTAGTACATGGTGGTGCGTTTGGGAAGCCCTAACTACGGCTTGCCAAAAGTGAGGCGGCGATTTCGAGCGCCAGACTTCTGGCGTCAGTTGGCGTGGATATACACAGCACGGCTTGTCAAAAGTGAGGCGGCGATTTTGAGCGCCAGACTTTTGGTGTCAGTTGGCGTGGATATATACACAGCGAGAGACGCCAATTTTGGCAAGAGTCACCTCGTGCGCCTCCAGGGAAATACTAGGGCCGAAGGGCCAGGAGGACGCCCCGGCGGCGACGGCGCTGCACCGTACCTGCCGGAGGGCGGCAGGCGTCATGATACGATGCTGCACCGTACTGCACCGGGGCCGGCTACAGGGACACGATGCTGGTTCCGCACTCGCGGGCTGGTTGGTGACTTGGTGGCCGGAGAGGATCTTGGCGCATTGGTCTACGGTGGCTTCAGCGACGGCAGGCACCAGCGCCGGGCAACACGCAACATGCATGCTTCCGCAGTGTGGTAGTATGGCTGACGTCGGATTCGCGTGCCTTCGTCCTGCTGAATATTGTACTAGCTATTATTTATTAAAGGATTAAGTTCACTTTTGGCTCTCAACTATTATGTTCGTATGATTTTAACCCTCAACTATAAAACCGTCTAGTGTTGGTACCCTAACTGTCAAAACCGTTCACTTTAAGCACCTCGTCGCGGGTGTGGCGGTTTTATCGGACGTGGGGCGGTTTTAACCATGCCAAGCTGACGTTGACCGTGCCATGCTTGCCCCTCTCTTTCCTCCCGTCACCGGGCGAAGCGAAGCTATGGCGGCGGAAGCGCAAGCGCATGCATGGCGATGCTGAAAGCATGTCTTCTGCGCGGCGGCAGCGCAGCGAGGCGGTGGCGCTCGAAAGCGAGCTACTGACGCGACGCCGCCTCCGGCGCTGATGGCCTCCGGTAGCAGTATGAGGCGGGCATAGCACGGGCTGAAACGGCGTCGGCTTCATGTACCGGTCGGTGGTGGAGGACTACTTCACGGGTACCGGCGCTTCTTCTCACGGGGTTGGACGTCCGCCATCGCTATCCGGAGCCGCGGCGGCGTTCCTCGGCAGCATGCCCACCAACCTCAACGACGTCGGTTGGTCCGAATAAGCGCTGGATGTCCGGGGATGCTCGTCGTCGGCGTCTCAGGAGGCACTCCCGCTTTACTTTGCCGCCGCTCCTCCCGCCGCCCTCACTCCGAGGCCATGGGCTACGCCTAATTCCGGCTTCGCGCGCGCGCTTACGCCGTTCCGGTGCCTGCTACGCCACCACCGCGCAGCTGCCTGCCTCCGCGGCGTCCCGCTCTTTCTTCTCGCCGCCGCCGCGCTGCTGCAAGCGCATCCTCGCCGCTGCGGCAGACTGAGCGGAGGTGTGCGTGGCGAGCACGGAGGCTGGACTGCGCGCGACGTGGTGGAACAAGCAGAGGTTCTTGGTGCTCAACGCCCTCACCGGTCAGCTCTTGGTGCGTCGCGCGCCGCCAGAGCTGCTTTCGCGCGCTTTGACTTCGACCTCACCATCAAGGCGCGGGCGGAAGGCTGTACCAGGATGGCGTCTTCGACTTCACGGGCTGCTCCACCTGCTGCTGCCTCGCCACCACGCTCTCCGTTCTCAACGTCGCGGCCATCATGGCGGCACAGAAGATGACGTCGTGGGGCGGCTTCCAATTCGGCGGCAAGCTGCTCCCATGTTGTTCCTCATGTGCTGCTCTGGCGTGGCGCTTCGCTACCCATCGCTAGAGGGGATGTTCCTCCGGTGGGATGTTGCTGCGAGGTTCGCCACGCATCACCGCGCGAGGCGGGGCCGCAGGCCGTGGGCGCCTCCGCCGGGGGTAGCCAGTGGAGGCAGCAACACGGCGTCCCGCTCGTGCGCGCTCGTCGGCCATGGCGCGGCCGCCTGCTCGTCCGGTGGCCCTAGCGCGTGAGCCCGACGGCGGCTTAGCTAGCCCGACGCGGTAGCCAGCAGCGACGCTTCTTCGCTTCGGCGGCGTGGCGTGCGCGGCGATGTGAATGATTGCAAGGGAAGCGGTGTAGCTGATTTGCGCGGTGGTGGTGCTCGAGCTTCATGAGCTAGACGACACACACAAGCCGGGCGGCGGATTCGATAGCCCTCGCATGCCTCGCGCGGTCGGCGGCAAAGCAGCTACGCCGCCGGACCATGGTATGAAGAACTGCTTGTCGATGGTGGCGGCGACGACTTCGACCGACCTTTGTCCGAATCTCTTTGGAGCTAGAGGAAGGAGAGGAGGGAATGAGTGGGTGACGCGCAGGCCCCACATATCACTGAGATGTAGGCCAGCGTCCTACGTGGTAGTCAATGCCAGCGTGGCATGGTCAAACCCGTTCCACGCCAGACAAAACCGCCTCTTCCGCGCACAGGTGCTAAAAGTGAACGGTTTTGACAGTTATGGTATCAACACTAGACGGTTTTGTAGTTGGAGGTTAAAATCAGACGAACACAATAGTTGAGGGGCCAAAAGTGAACTTAATCCTTTGTTAAATAAGGAGGCTTGGTGTCCCTACTGGATTTATGGTTGGACACAGTTATAACCGTGACCGCTCACTCGCGCGACCCCGCCCGCTGGTTAAAACCGTGACCCCTCGTCTAAGCCAGGTTTTATCGGCTAATAAGCCATGACTGAGAGTACTATTGACTGATTTGTTTTGAGAGAAAAATAAAAAAAATACGGTTTATAAGGAAGCGAACAGGAGATAGTTCGCTCCTCCCCCGCCACGCCGCCTAAGCTCCTGTCCGCCGCCGCAGTGGGCACGCAGCCAGCGATAGCACACGCCGCCTCGGCAGGCACCAGCACAATGGCCGTGGTGCAAGCCGGCATGGGCCTCACCCGCTTCGTCCTCCTCGTCGGCATTGGTGCGTAACGCCGCCGCCCCATACTCCGTTGTGCACTTGCCCGTCGATCGATCTGCTGCATGCTACCCTATGATTTACTAGATCGAGTTAGCTAGCTCTTCCGGTGCTTAGAACCCGCAACACGGCCCACGCGCGTACCTTTGTTTTTTTCCCCTCCAATTCTCCTTCTCCTTTTTTTTTCTCATCCGGATCGATCGTGCAGGTGCTGTCGGCGGCCCCATCGCTGCCCGCAGCGGCAAACTCGGCGAGCTCCTCCGCGATCTTCAGGTGCGTGCGGCGGCGCACCACTCCGATCGATCTACGATCTACACCCTGCGGCGTGTTTGCATTGTGCTTTCAGCTCTGAATTCTGATCCGCGTTTGATTTCCTGATGATGCTGCCTTCGCAGGAGTCTCTTAGAGAGAAGGGGGTGGGAGTGGAATCGGCCCCCGTCAACGACGACACTAACATAGTACGTCATGCGTGCATCGTGCATCGCGCAACGCCCTGCTTCTGCTTGTATATGAACGACGCGGCATGATGCGTGTACCCCTTGTGCTAGCATATAATTAATGTAGCACGCTGTTCTGTTTTATTTAGGTGGCTAAAGTACTTGCTCAATTGACCAACGAGGTTCATCACGTCGTGACAAGACCTATTATTCAGGTGGATACAGGAAACGGAGGTCTGTCACCTCAACTACGTACTGCGCTTGAATCTGTTTGTTCTGCTAGCTGTCCGGTTCCTGTCTTACCATTACATACCATCCAATCCTGTCTTAATTAACATGCATTGGCTCGTCATGTATGCATATTATGCTTTACTAAACCCAACCATCATATTGCATGGAGACAAACTGAAAATCTCCTTTATTTGTTCTTCTCCGCTACTGCTATGACAACTAAGTGTTGAACTTCCGCTACTTTGCATATCACCATCTGTTTCTGCTAGAATATTTTTTTAAAGGGCGGCAAAAGCTTTATCATATTTTTATTAGACGATAGAACAAGAAAAAAGGTTTACAAACAAGAACAGCCGACTAGGCCCTGTACAACCACGGTCTCCTCACCGCACCCTCGACCTGAAAACCACCCAACCCGAAACAAGAAAAAGAAGCTCTCAACCGAGACAAAACCAAGAAGACAAAACAGAAGAAAAAAGCCTGCTAGAATATATATGGTACCAAACAAACATGTGTTAAAGTAAGCCTGCAAATGGAATGTTCTTTCAGATCTTTGTGTAAAATTCGGTATATCTTTTATATTTAGGCTGTTGTGTCAACATGATTAAAGCCCTCCTTAAGTAATAATTTTACCTCTTTGCAGCTGGATCAGCTTTGATAGTACCTGCTGCTGCTGTAGGGACAGTCGGCTACTGTTACATGTGGTGGAAAGTAAGTCCCAATTGATGTTGATTTTTTTTTCATTCATCAGTGATATATGGCCCCGTTTGCGTGCCCTTAAACCTGTCTTGATCCGCTTCTTTTTTTCATCCGGAGCCGTGTTTTTCTCTCATAAATTCCTCCACATTCATCCAAAACCATCAAGATTCCTCCAAATTTCTCCCAGCGAACGGGCCCGGGCCCATTGTATTTAAGTAAATCAGCATGTTCTGAACACCCATGCTTTCAGACACTCAATACCGATTACTCTTCTTTTAGAAATAAAATAAAAACTGGAAATTGGCTTTTGCCTTCTTCTTCCAAGTTGCAGGTCCTGTTCAGCTTACCCTATATTTGGCTTGTTCGGCTTCTTTTTTCAGCCAGAACAGTGTTTTTCTCTCACAACAATTCAGTCGGAACAGTGTTTTCAGCCAATTTCAGCCAAGTTTCAGACCAGCGAACGGGCCAGTATCTATGCGTGTCACTACAGTCAAATGGGCTGCTTTCGGGCCACTGTGATTTAATTCTGAAGTCCTACCCTTTTTGTTGAACTATATAAAGTCTACTACAAGCCCAAAACCTAGCTACATGTCATAGACAAATAAAAACGCTAAAAAATTGTGTTAGGCCATTTGCTATTTACTTGAGCTTATCCTGTTCTAATTGTCTACAAGCATTGAAAAGGGCTTGTTCGATTAACTGTAATCTCTCCGTTGCCTTTCAGGGAATTTCCTTCTCTAGCTTGATGTATGTCACTAAACGCAATATGGCTAATGCTGTTGCAAGCATGACTAAGCATCTGGAACAAGTGCAGAGCTCTCTTGCTGTAAGTACTACCAGCATCCCTTTCCTAGCGAAGTCATTATCTCATTTTCCTTTATTATTCAGAATGAATGAACATTATTTGTATTATATTCTAGACAGCAGTACCACAACTTGTACTCACTATTACTGTCAAATGGATGATGACATATTCCTCTCTGAAATAGATAATGATACTCTTCATGCTCGTATTTAGGTAACTATTTTTTTTCTTGAATGCGTAGGACAGTTGTGGCTCATTGCATTATGGAAGAACAAGGTTTAATTACAAAGCATCCAAAGCGAAAATTAAAAATTAAATTCTGAAATAGATCACGTGCCACTGAAAAAAATCATGAACAAAGAACAACAGAGCAACTCAAGGACGGCAGATGGAGGCCTAACTATGTCTAATAAATTTAGGTGACTTGAATATTGAACCGCACAACTATGTCTAGTAAATTAGGTGGATGCTGAATTACAATTTAACTGAAGTATTATCTCAACAAATAAAAATTGTAATATTCTTTTAAACTAACTTTGGAGATTTGTAGTCCTCATTTATAAACAAGCCTTAATCTCATTGTTTATTCAAAAATAGTTGTATGATTAGATATTTTCATCAACCCTATGGTTGAAGCATAGGATTCAAATGGGTCTCCAACACGGATTTCAAAATGCTGCCCTGTTTGAATGTATACCACTTTTCTTAAGTAGCTTGTGGGATTTTCAAATGATCTAAGTGTATTAAATACCACAACTTGTGCAGGCTGCTAAAAAGCACTTATCACAGCGCATTCAGCACGTGGATGATAAATTGGAACAGCAGAAGGAGATTTCGGTGCAAATAAGAGATCAGGTACTTTGAAATTCAGTATCTTTTGCTTGAAAGAGAACCCCGGATGTTTTTATGTTCATTCAAACAGCAAGAACAGATTTGGAAATGTATGTACCACTGTGAAGCTAGTTTCCATGAGTTATTTACAGTGACCTACACTGTCAAAACCTTACAGTGAACTAAAATGTTAATATGTTATTTTTGCATATTTCGTTGATTATACAAACTCAGCTGCTAATACGAATGAGCTAGACGATGGAGTCTTTAGTGTATTGTGTATAATCTCATATATCCGCTTTTCTTCATTCAGGTTACTGGTGCAAAGTTGAAAATAAAGAACATTGGATCAGACATGGATAACATAAAAAAATGGTTGTGGGCCTGGTGAGCTTATATCTAACTTGCATTTGCTTCGTACTAGTTTTATAGTTTCTCCAGTTGTCTTTGTATAAACTTATCTGTTGTGCAGGATGAGAAGATGGATTCAATTGAAGCAAAACAGGTAAACTTTATCCTTATCGGAGCAGTATTGGCATAATATTGAATTTCTCGAGTTGAACACTCAGCAAATTTAGTGTCAAGCTTTTGTGTTTTGGATCATAGATCCAATTTCTCATACAGTAGTGGAAGTGGAGGATTCCATGTCTTTCCTCCTCAATGCATGATACAAACTAAGTGCAGTAAACTACTGTCTTCTTCCATGATGACTAACAATATCTTATCAACAGAATTATTCATGTGTGGCGGTGGATTATCTCTGCCAATTCATAGAAAAAAGGGTTGACAAGCTACCGGAACAGCTGGTGAGTGTGCCCATTTTTGGTGCCAGCATTTTTTAGTCTTCACGCCATGTTTCCTACATTATTATTGTATAAATCTTACTTTGATAGTAAGTATGGTACCCTATTCATTTCTTGTTTCTTGGTAAACGATTATTATGGCCAATATAAAAAGCTCATTGTGCTGGTAAATTTTTTACTGTGCATGGAAGTGCACATAGTAATAAAATTGAGATAGAATAAGAAGAATCTCCTTGTTGAGCTAGACTTGCTTTTCATGTATATTTCGTTTACAGTGCATTGCACTTCCTAATCCCACTTGAACTAAAACATGGTATTATTTCAATATATCTGTAGCTCCTTTTTTTCATACCGAAACCCTCTCCATGACAAACCCAAATGCCAAACTGTCAGAAAGAAAGCAAGGAGAAGAAATTTGTTGTTGATATTTTTGAGTGATAGGATCCCCTGGATCATGAGCAATGTATTCTAACTTCCAAGCAAGGATCCCCTGATTCTCTTCTCTGGTTTTTTCTTTTTCCCAGGAAGGATTGCAACAAACAGTAAAGCGCATCGGATACAAGAGCTCAGAGTTGCCACCGGTTAGTTCTGTCACTTTGTTTCTTCTTAGTTGAACTGTTTCATTGAAATGGCCGACGTCGTAATTATTTTAGGAACCACTTCATTTTTTTTTAGGGGAACCACTTCATTTTGCTGGAGGCTGACGGGGAAATCTTTGTTTTTCGACAGGGGCTGGGGGTTCGGGCAACTGCTGGCCACCGAATCAGCGAACCCTTGCAGTAGAAGAATGCTTCGATCAACAGGCTTGAACTCGGCACGTCTGATTCTGCCTTGACCATGAGAGGGATCAAGGCAAAGCAATGGATGCATTACCGACGCCTTGTGAAATCTTGTACAGGGAAGCACACCTTGATTTAGGGAGGCTGGTAGATTATCTGTGACTGTTTTTAGGTGTTAGATTAGATGGCATGTTCCGTCTTTCTAGTTCTGGGTCACTGGCTTATTTTGCCGCTTTGGCCAGTTTGAACTGCGGATAGTTGAATCTCGGATTCCAGTTTTGATCTATTTTCGTCAGGCGTGTTTGATCTTTCCAAGTTCAAACGATGATGTGTTTATGTTTCCATATTTAAATTTCAAAACACCTGCTTGTACTATTTCCTAATTTCAAGGGTTTGTTTGCCACGCCTAAAAATTTTGGTTCAGCAACACCTGATGTCACAGGCTTTTGTGGCCTCGTGCACCGTGGCAATTAGCTGTGCTGCCTTCTTTTTTTTTTCTTTGAATCTTGTGCTGCCTTCTTGGTCCCGCGATGAATAGATATAATCGGTAACGGCAATGATGATTATAGTCGTGTGTCCGGACGGATAGACCCTTATAAGTCACCCGCCGCTGGCTTTGCGCCTCGCCTGCATCGCGTCGCCTCAGCACGCTGCGCATCTATGTTTTCGGACGGACCCGCTGAAGTTGACACACTCACACAATTGTCTTTTCACTTTCAAGAACCAGTTGACAGAGCACTAGGGGACCTTTTGGCCGCGCGGCCCTGCCCGCGTCCACGCCGCCCGCCCACGCCTCGTGGCCCCGCCCGGACTCGCGCCTCACGTTGCAGCCGTGCTCTCACATGCCTGCCCCTGCCGAGGTCTGTGCCGTCGACGAGCTCCACACCGACGACCTTCGTCCCCTCCACGTACAGCTAGCATGCCATCGAGCTCGCGTCGGCGAGCCTCCGTTGATGTCAATCGATCAACTAGTTGTCGGATGCTAATCTGAAAAGCGCATGTTGTAAGAGTATGTTTGAAGTGTTTCAGATATTTCAGAAGTACGTGTGCAAGTGTTGTATATCGATGTTACAAAAGTAGATTTGGCTGTTGCACATAATGGCTATGCACATATGTTTCGAAGTATTTTCAGGTGTTTTATAGGTATGTTTGCGAGTGTTTCATCTGGATGTTGTATATATTTGTAATGGTTTTCAAATGTTTTTCAGACGTTTTCGTAAGTGTTTCAGACGCTTTGTTTTAAGTGTTTCATTTGTCTTCTTTTGTATATTGCAATTATTGCATCTGGATGTTTCAAAAGTAGATCGGATGTTGCACATGGGATGCGTGTGGAAAGCGGCCGACAACACGGACGACGTTCGGGGCAGCGAGGGCGATGTCCGGGGCGGCATGGGCCCACTATTGGAGTGCTCCCTCGCGAGCCCGACGCGCTATGCGCTTGTTTGCTCCCTTTGCACGGTAACTTCCGGACGCTAGCACCTAGACGGACATCCAGGCGCTGGCAAATCCGATATATAATGCCTGTGATCCTAGGATTTAAGCATTATTTGTACCCATTCCGTTGCTGCTGATTGAAGTTTCCTAGCTCTCATGATTTAATTCAGATCTCTTATATATTTGATGCACACAAATCAACTAGCATGGTGATTTGGCATTAGAGTAACTTATAACCCAAAATGGTACTCGCTCGGTCCTGAAATATATGGGTTAATACAAATAACGCATATAATCCTCTCTTAACTATAGAAAGAATTTGTGCTCACCGTATTTTAAGCCTGACACTAATGACAAGTACATGCAAGGTAATAATAGTATTAGTAGTGGCTGCTATAGCATTCGTAGGCCGCAAGAGCGATATGGTGCCTTATTGTTACTGCTACGACGCAGCGGCCTGAAGTATGAAGATGTCACCTTGAAACTTACCAGAAGCTATTGGGTGTAGCATACCGCTTCGATCCTGCATAGCATGCCATATAGCACACCAAATCAAATCTATAACTACTAAATTTCTCTAGTTGATTCTGAATCTCATCCTAAGTTTGTTCTGCTATCCACTTTCGTTTATCCATTCCATGACGAGTGGATCCATTGGTTGCAAAATTAATTAATAATAAGCCACTAAGGCCCATCAGGTTACTAAATCAACATAGAACTTCATGTTTGTTTCTTAATACAAGTTACACACATGTTGGACCGAGACATCAACTTTTCGAGTGCAATGAAATATCTATTTAATTATTTATTCATGAAGTTCCATGTTCACTATTATATCAAAGTTGCTACAAATGTGTGAGAAAATCATTACTCATGATATACATGCGTAAATACATTTATGCGTGATTATTAGATGCACCATTGGAACTTAGCATCCACGTATCCACGATCTGCTACGAACTCTATCTGTCCCAAAATAACTATTGTTTTTGTTTCCCGAGAAATAACTTTGACTAATTTTATATAAAAATATATTAATATTTATAATACATAATTGATATCATTAGACTTTGAATCTATTTTTATAATAAATTTATTTGGAGATGTAAATGTTGCATGTATTTTCTACAAATCTAGTTAAATTTACTGCACGAAAACCCAAAACGACAATTAATTTGAGACGGAGGGAGTAGACATCAATCTGCTACGGACCCGTTGTCCGTTATTTATTACTTTGTACACATGTGATTAGGACTTTGAATTAATTTACCTAGAGTACCTTATAATTTAGAATAATATGACAAACTTTGAATGCTTTGGTATCTTATATTCCAAGATGGAGGCATTAACTTTAGACGAAAAAATGAGGAGTCCGGATACCAATTTTGTGAAGTATTTTTTAAAAGGAAATTTTGTGAAGGAGTATTTTTGAAATTAAAAGGATGTTAAGTGAATGGCAAGGGACAAATCCTCGCGATGAAAATTGATGGGGGCCTCCACTGCTCCCTCTTGGTCGTGGCCGCACAGCAACCGCGCCGCTGGATCCACTATGCTCCGCCTCTGCCTTCCTAGCGCGCGGAGGCGGCCATGAAATCGAGGCAGTCCAAACCCCCGTGTGCGCGAGGAAGGATCCCCGAATCAGTACCCACCCTGATGCCCGATGGCGCTCTCCACGCTGCTGGCGCACCTCGCGGCGGGCCGCTTCGCCCACGCACTGGCGGTCACGAGCGGCAGCGGGCCAACCGCGTCCGCCACCTCCTCCTCTGCACCTCCCCGCCGCCCCCGCTCCCGCGCCTCGTCGCCCTCGCGCGGTGGTCTCGCGCCCACTTCCACGTGTCGCTCCCGCTCCGGCTCCACGCGCTCCTCCTGGCCCGCCTCGCCTCCGACGGCGGCCTCCACTCTCTCCTCCGCTCCGAGCTCCACGCCCTCGCCGCGGGGTGCCTCCACTCGCCCGCGTCCATCCTCCGCGCCCTCCCCGCTTCCTCCCGCCCGCTCGTCGCCGATATGCTCGTCCTCGCGCTCGCCCGGGCCTCCAACCGCTGGTCGCGTACGATGCATTTCTCCTCGCGGGCGCCGACTACCCGCGCTACCTGTTAGATAATTAGGCATTTTCATGGTCAATTTAATCCAGAAATAAAACATCAGCAGGTTCATGATGATATATATGTGCATGTGTATATCACTAACAAACGCTACAGCATACAAGTATGACATACTGATCGCTGCAGTAAGTATGCAAAGTACGGTAATCACAGAGTTAAGAGTGTACCCAGCGGAGGGTCCCATGTCGAGGGCATCGGAGGCTCCATTCACAGCAGACATAGTACGTTGCTCGAAGTCGTGGACCACAGTCGATGCAGGAAGGTGTTCGCAGTGCAGTCCCACAAACGGTCACCAGGAAGAAGACACCTTATTGTTCCGTGAGCAATCACCAAGAAGAAGACGGGTTCCGCGAGCGATCACCAGGAAGAAGACATCGGACGAGCAGTCGTGAAATCGCTCCCCAAAAACCTAATCGCCGCACACCCTATGCAAGGTTCGCAGGCGGACGAGGGTTTCGGAGGCACCTGCTCTCCCGCTGCTCCGTACGCGCAGAGGTATGGGATGGGGAAAGCTAAAGGGTGGCTGAGATGTGGTCTCTCGAAAGCGAAGAAGAGATTGGACTAACGGAGGACTTCTACTTCTATGCCCAGCGGCGGGGAGCGAGAAAGCCAGCGGAGGAACTAAGGAGACGGAGACACGAAGAGACGGTAACTGCGCAATCAACTCGCCTCCACCATAAAGGAGAGAAACTCCCGTAATTATATGGATTAAGTGGCAAAACCTAGCCACGCCCGCCCGTCCGCTCACTTGCCCCGACTGCCACGCCCATGCCCACGCCCACGTCCCGGCCCGACCCGGCCAGCGACGGCGCGCGCGCGTGTGGTACTCCTGTGTACTTTTCTCAGCTTCTCAATTAAGATGGATAATTTCCAACCAAATAAACTGAGTCAACGTTTAGTCAAAATCCCGTAAGGTATTAACCATACAACGCTTAATATTACGGACCATAGAGTTTTATTTGATTTATTAAATATTATATGGGCCAAGCCCATAATATATCCAACAATCCCCACCAAACTCTAGAATTTGTAACAAAGTAGTCTCAGAACCATATTTCTTTTATATATCAGTGTTTCGATGGAGACTGTTAAGTTAAACATCTATCTAGAGCAATAGTTTTACTCAGTCACAACTGAACAATGGACTAAGCCTTGAATTGATAGTTTTATGTGAGCTGAATGTCACTAAAGTCCTTAGTTGATACTAGGCTGCAAAAGGCATTCCCTTTATTTGAAGCATATAAGTCATACTCCAGTGCCTTTCATGAGTATTTAGAGATCACCTAAATCTCATACACTATGACCAGCAGTCTGACTCATATAGGTGCGTTCCTCAAAAGATTTTCTGTAGTACAATATTTTTGCTTTAGCAAGCCACTTGGAACACATTACGGTAAAAACCAACCAGCCTTACAGAAAGGAAAGATATGCATCAGAAATGAGTCTTACTAAGGATCTTTCCTCATAATTTACTACTAGCTTGTTTCACCATCCTACTTCACGGGATCTCCGATCACATAGAATAGGTTACCACTATAGTAAATTTTATGTGGGTCTCAAACACATCTCTCTCGATGCACTTTCTATCACATTGCGTGATAGACCCTTAGTGAATTTGTCTGCCAAATTGTTAGACGTGTGAACATAATCCAACGCTATTACTCTGGAGTTTCTCAATTTTCTGACAGATTTTAGTCGTCTCTTAACGTGCCTTGTGGACTTCATGTTATCCTTAGAACTGTTAACCTTTGTAATCATAGTCTAGTTATCGCAGTTCATAAAAATAACCGGTATGGGTTTTTCAACAACCAGTAAATCCATAAGGAGATCACGAAGCCACTCAGCCTCAGAGCCAGCGGTGTCTAATGCTGTGAGTTTTGCTTCCATTGTAGATTTCGTTAAGATAGTCTGCTTGCAAGACTTCCAGGAAATAACACCACCTCCAAGCGAAAATACATATCCACTTGTGGCATAAAGCTCATTAGCATCAGAGATCCAGTTGGCATCACAATAGCCTTCCTGCACCTACGGATGTCTGGTATAACGAATACCATAGCTCATAGTGCCTTTTAGATAGCGCATCACTCTCTCAAGAGCATGCCAGTGATCATCTCCTGGGTTTGACACAAACCGGCTCAGCTTGCACACAGCAAATGAGATATCAGGCCTTGTTGCACTAGCAAGATACATGAGCGAACCAATGATCTGGGAATATCTCAATTGATCTCTTATTATTCTCCGATTTTTCCTCAATAGCACACTAGGGTCATAAGGTGTAGGAGCAGGTTCACAGTCCCTAAACCTAAAGCGACTCAGCACCTTTTCCACATAGTGGGATTGTAACAGAGTTACCCCGCCATCACCTTCTCTTAGAAGCTTGATATTAAGAATAACATTAGTCTCTTCCAAATATTTCATTTCAAAATTATTAGATAAAAATTCCTTCACCTCCTCAATCACTTTGAGGCTGGATCCAAAGATCAGTATGTCATCAACATATAAGCACAAAATAACTCCTTCACCCCCACCATACCGATAGTACACACATTTGTCAGCTTCATTCACAACAAAGCCAGCAGATGTTAGAGTTCTATCGAAATTCTCATGCCACTGCTTAGGAGCTTGTTTTAGGCTATATAATGACTTTAATAATTTACACACCTTGTCTTCTTGACCATTTGCTACAAACCCATCCGGATGGTCCATATAGATCTCCTCCTCTAACTCTCCGTTTAGGAAAGCTGTCTTAACGTCCATTTGATGAACGATAAGACCATAAAAGGCTGCTAGGGAAAGCAAAACTCGAATTCATTTGAGAAATATTCTCCCCCGCGATCGGACCACAAGCGCTTGATTTTCTTCTCAAGTTGATTTTCTACCTCAGCTTTATAGACTTTAAAATAATGCAACGCTTCATCTTTAGTTTTTAATAAATACACATAGTAAAATCTAGAACAATCATCTATAAATGTCATGAAGTATCGTTTATCGCCTTTAGTAAATTCGCCATTCATCTCGCATAAATCAGAATGAACGAGTTTTAATGGTGCCAAGTTCCTCGCCTCAGTAGCCTTGTGAGGCTTACGTGGTTGCTTCGATTGCACACACACCTGGCACTTAGAATCTTTGACTAAGTTAAATTTTGTGATTAAATTCAGATTTGCAAGCCGCATGAGACAGCCAAAATTAATGTGACAAAGTCGTGAATGTCATATATTCGACTCATCCGAAACATTAACATTGTTCAATACTTTATTACACACATCATCAAGCAAAGATAAGCGGAACAAGCCTCCGTAATCATAACATTTTCCAACAAATATTTCATCTCTCAACACAATACACTTATTGGACTCAAGCACAATCTTAAAGCCATCACGACACATTTGAGAACCGCTAACAAGATTCTTCTTGATGGACGGGACATGCTGCACGTTCTTTAATAGCACCGTCTTTCCCGAAGTAAATTTCAGAACGACCATACCAGCACCAAGAACACGCGCATGCGAACCGTTTCCCATCAGCAAGGCTCCAGTCCTACCAGCCTGATAGGAAGTAAACAAAAAAACATCAGCACACACATGAATATTAGCACCGCTATCCATCCACCACTTAGGTGAAAGACAAACTGAAAGGACAAAAGGTAACGAATTACCATACCCAGATGTTCCTCCTCCAGTCTCGCTAATCACCACGTTTGCTGATTTCTTTTCTTGCTTATATTTGTGGTCTGGGCACGCACTTGTCCAATGCTCATCACTCCCGCAAACAAAGCAATCTCCACCTTTCTTGTTGTTTTTCTTCTTAAACTGAGTAGTTTGCTTAGGCTTTGTATTGTTGTTCTCTTGCATGTTCTTCTTCTTTTTATTATGGGATGCAAATGAGTTTTTCTTCTGCACCATATTGGCAGCGGAAGACTCAACTCCTTTTTCACAGTTGTCTTTTGCTCTCGCCCTCTCCTCAACACCAAGAGATCCAATCACGCTAAACTCTTGTCTCTTGTATTTTAGAGAAGTAGCAAAATCCCTCTAAGAAGGTGTCGGCTTAGCGATTATACCGTCGGCCACAAACTTGTCGGGCAACAAACATAGAAAATGTTCTAGTTTCTTTGCTAGCGTCTGTATCTCATGAGCCTGTTCCACTACAGAACGGTTTTTAACCATTTTGTAGTCATACGGCTGCTCCATAAGGTACAGCTCACTACCAGCATCAGAAACTCCAAACTTTGCCTCAAGAGCATCCTATAATTCTTTGCTTGATGTGTAAAATATGTAGTTTTTCTCATACTTACTATGAAGTGCACTAATCACGGCGCCTCGAAACAAGTTATCGGCAGCCAAGAACGTTTGCTCCTCCTCAGGAGTAAATTATTCAGGCTTCCCCTATGCGGCGTAATAGCAATTCATAATAGTCAACCACAACACTATCTTGGCATGCCATATCATGAAATTCTTGCCATCAAAATTATTCGGCTTCAAAGCAGCAGCAAAACCACTGACAGAAAATTACCTAACATTAGGTTTTTTTATTGTTAGATAATTAGTCATTTTCATGGTCAATTTAATCTAAAAATAAAACATCAGCAGGTTCGTGACGACATATATGTGCATGTGTATATCACTAACAAATGCTACAGCATGCAAATATGACATACTGATCGATACAGTAAGTACGCAAAGTACGGTAATCACAGAGTTGAGAGTGTACCCAGCGGACGGTCCCATGCCGAGGGCATCAGAGGCTTCATTCGCAGCAGACATAGTGCGTTGCTCGAAGTCGTGGACCATAGTCGATGCAGGAAGGTGTTCACAGTACAGTCCCACGAACGGTCACTAGGAAGAAGACACATTTAGCATGATCGTTGGGCTGGCTGGGGCTGGCTGGGCTGGCCAGCCCCCTCACATGAGTATTGTTCATCTGAACCAGCCAGCAGTACTTCTCTCTCACATAAACGAATCAGCAACGATACGAACCAGCCAACCGAACAGGCTGCTTGCTGTTCCGCGAGCGATCACTAGAAAGAAGACGTCGAACGAGCAGTCGCGAAATCGCTTCTCAAAAATATAATCGCCGCACACCCCGTGCAAGGTTCGTAGGCGAACGCCGGCCCGCGCCCACGCCCACGGCCTAGCCTGGCTCGGCCGGCGGTGGCGGCGCACGCGCGTGTGGCACCCCCATGTCCTTTTCTTAGCTTGTCAATTAAGATGGATAATTTTTAACTAAATAAGCTGAGTCAATGCCCAATCAAAATAATATATGATATTAAACCATACAACACTTAATGTTACGAACCATATAGTTTTATTTAATTTATTAAATATTATAGGGGACAAACCCGTAATATATCAACACTACCGCCCTTCGGCCTTCTCCGTGAACGCGCTGCTGGCCTCCCTCGTCCGCGCTGACCGGGTCGACCTCGCCGAGCGGGCGTTCAGGGCGGCGCTGCGGCGGCGTGTGTCGCCGGATTCGTTCGCCTTCAACATCGTCATCTCCGGGCTCTGCAAGACTGGGCAGCTCCGCAAGGCCTGTGACGTCGCGAAGGACATCAGGGGGTGGGGGCTGACGCCCTCGGTGGTCACCTACAACACCCTCATCAACGGTTATTGCAAGCGCGGACGAGCTGGAAAGATGTACCATGTGGATGTGCTGTTGAAAGAGATGAACCAAGCTAGAATTTCTCCTGATGTGGTCACATTCAACGTGCTGATTAATGGGTATTGTAAGGAGTCCAACATTACAGCTCCAATCAAGGTCTTTGAGGAGATGAGGCAACACGGGATTCCTGCGAATGTGGTGACATATAATTCACTTGTTTCGGGGCTCTGCAGAGAGGGGAAGGTGGAGGACAGCGTGAAGCTGGTGGAAGAGATGGAGGAGTTGGGGTTGGCATGCACCCTGTCTACCCTGAACAGCTTTCCAAGATAAATTTTTCCATGCTTCATTTATGGCTATTCAACAGCTTGCTGGCTATTACTGTCTGCCTGTCCTATGAACTTGTGAAAGGTTGAAGAGAAGATGTTGCTAAATAAAAACGTTTCCATCAAGCGTAAAATTTTTCTTAAGTGCATTTGACATTAGCTGATTAGTATGTGTATGGAAATAGGTTGCTTTGTATTTAACATTACGTGCAAGTTAATTTTGACAATAACTATCAAGATTGGATTTTGCCAAGAGGATATTCAGAACTTCATCGACAGTTCCCTTAAGGATGGACATGACCTTTCTACTTTTGTAAATAATGTGTTGGGGGATTCCCTTGGAATCTCATACTGGTACCGATTTATTTATCTTCAGTGCAAAGAATTTCCATTATTTTGCTTTCACATGCAAGACAGGTATGACTGTATGAAGATGATGAGTTCTCAGACGTAGATTGTACCATGAAATTAGACGAGTGGAACAGGTCAACAAGGAGCCAGGAAACATATCCAGGGGAAAAGGAGAATTTTTAGCTGTTTCAGTTGTTGTGTCCTACCAGCGGGTAACTGTTGCATTCAACTTAGACGAGTTTGATGATGTTGCAGTAAGTTTTGACCTTTTATTTCCCATAGAGGCATAGAGTGAATTATTAGTGCCATTTGTTTTTCCCTAAGACCCTAATGTTGCCCAGACATGAACAAAAATGGATCTCAGATTTAGGGTAAGCCCAGAGGACAGCTTGGCCACTAGGCCGCTTGGATTGAAACTGAAAGTTGCAAAGCTTGGGATACAAGATGGTCTGCCACTGCTTATATAGAGCAAAGTGGCTTTTGCTACTTCTACCTACTCTAGCATATTCTGCTGTGTAAAGCAGATATCAAACTTGGGTGCTAAGCCACCCGAAAACACTTAGACAGTGAATAGTAAAAGCATGAAAATAAGATACAAGTAGCTAGGCTTAACTATCAATCTCCCCCTAAGCCTAGTGCTGAGTGATCTGCTTCAGACCAATTCTCCTCATCTCCTGAAACTTGGCCTTGCCCAGTGACTTGGTGAGTATGTCTGCCAGCTAATCAGTAGTGGCGATGTCGTTGGCCTTGATGCTCCCATCCTCCAAGCAATCCCTGATGAAATGGTACTTGATCCGAATGTGCTTGCTCCTGTCATGGAAGACTGGATTCTTGACCAGAGCTAGAGCGGACTTGCTGTCCACCTTCAACTCCAGCACATCAACCTTTTTGCCAAGAAGCTCCCCGAGCAACCTGGACAGCCACAGAGCTTGTGTTGCTACAGTGGTGGTGGCGATGTACTCTGCCTCGTAGCTCGACAACGCCACAACCTTCTGCTTGATGGACTGCCAGCTAACCAAGCAATCACCCAGAAAGAGCATAGTTCCACAGGTGCTCTTGCTTGTGTCGATGTCGCCGGCGAGATCACTGTCGTAGTAGCCGACGAAGCGCGCCGTGCCAGGAGCCATCTTGTAGTGCAGAACGTAGTCCAGGGTCCCAGCCACGTAACGAAGAACACACTTCACGGCCTGCAGGTGCTCCACCATGGGCCGCTCCATGAACCGGCTCACGTACCCGACCGCGAACGCCAAGTTCGGCCGGATGTGCACCAGGTACCGGAGGCTGCAGACGAGCCACCGGTAGTGCGTGGAGTCCACCTCCTCCATCATGCTATGACGGATGAGCCTGAGCTTCTCCTCCATTGGCGTGTGCGCCTGATTGCAGCCGGCCATCTCGCCGAGCTCGAGGATCCGCTTGGCGTAGTGAGCCTGGCGGAGGGTGATGCCACTGGCATCCTGGCACACCTCGACGCCGAGGTAGAAGCAGAGGAGGCTGAGGTCGCTCATGTCGAACTTCTCCTTCATCTGCGCCTTGAACTTCACCATTTCTTCTTCCTCAGCGCCGGTGATGATCAGATCGTCGACATAGACGCCGACGAGTAGGACAGTGCGCCCGCTGCCCCGTCGGTACACCGTCGCCTCATGCATGCTCTGCTGGAACCCCATCACCTTGAGCGTGGCATCCAACTTCGCGTTCCAAGCGCATGGCGCTTGCCGTAGGCCGTAAAGGGCCTTGCGCACGCGGTACACCTTGTCTTCCTTTCTGGCGACGACGAAGCCAGGTTGCTGACGCACGTACACCTCTTCCTTGAGCTCGCCGTTGAGGAACGCGGACTTCATGTCCATGTGGTGCACCCGCCATCCTTCTTGGGCTGCCAGCGCGAGGAAGACACGGACCGACTCCATGCGCGCCACCGGAGTGAACGCGTTGTCGTAGTCGATGCCTTTTTGCTGGACAAACTGGCGTGCCACTAGCCGCGCCTTATGCTTGGTCACCGCCCCCTTCTCGTCCTTCTTCAACTTGAAGACCCATCTAAGGGTGATCGGGCGATAATCAGCAGGTAGATCAACGAGGTCCCATGTATTGTTCTTCTCCACCGACTGGAGCTCCTGCCTCATTACCACTTGCCATGCTGGGTCACCTTGCACCTCAGCGTAGGTGGTAGGCTCACCGGCATTAGTCAAGTGCAGCTGGGCGAAGAGGCGTGGCGCTAGCCCTAGAGGAGTCCCGTCACCGGTGATGTTCGTCACCGTGCGATAGCGAAGGGGCTCGTCATCATAGAACGCGTCTAGACGGTCCTCATCGTCCTCCAGTGGCGTGGCGAGCTCGACCGGAGGTTGATCGGCGGGCGGCGGCGTGGCATTGGGGGAAGCAGGTGATGCCGCAGCCGATGGCGCCGTTGGTGAAGCCGGCTGGAGCGGAGGTGGACTGGCAGTTGCCGCCGTCGTGCTCCCGGGCTCCCCGAAGCTGGTGATGGTGAGCGCGATGAGCTAGGGATGCCGATGGAGACGCACCTTGTGCTCCCCTACTCCACAAGTACTCGATGGTGAACTCTTCCACCGCCGATGCTGAGCTCTCTCCCACCTTGGTCCAGTCCCAACCGCGGCCTTCGTCGAAGACGACGTCGTGCGTCACATGCACACACTGGGTCTTTGGGTCGAGGACGCAGTATGCCTTGGCGCCCTCAGCATACCCGATGAAGACACCCGGTCGGCTGCGATCGTCCAGCTTCTTCACCTGATTCAGCTCCTTGGCGAAGCAGAGATAGCCGGACGTGCGCAGGTGAGTGACCATCGGCGCCCTTCCATGCCACGCCTCATACAGGGTCTTGCCCCACAAGCTCTTCGCCGGCGAACAGTTTAGCAGATGGACTGCAGTCACCACCGCCTCTCCCCTATACTTGGCCGGCATGCCCCGCTGCTTCAGCAATGCCCGCGCCATGGCCACCACCGTCTGGTTCCTTCTCTCCATGACCCTGTTCTGCTGCGGCGAGTAGGGGGCACTGAAGTGGCGCTGGATGCCTTCATTCGCGTAGTAGACGGTAAAGCCGCGGTGGTGAACTCCCATCCATTGTCGGTGCGCAGCACCCGGAGCTTGCGCCCACTCCCCTTCTCCACCACTGCTTGCATGCTTGATGGCGTCCGCAGCGGTGTCCTTGGTCGTCAGGAGGGCCACCCACATGTACCGAGTGGCGTCGTTCACCAGCAGCAGGAAATAGCGCCTACCGTCGGGAGTCGCCAGCGACACGAGACAACAGAGATCGCCGTGGACGAGCTCGAGCAGCTCCTGCACGTGGTACTGGGCTTCAGCCGGGAACAGAGCCCTCCTTTGCTTGGTGATGACGCATGTGTCACAGAACTGCCCGACGTGCTTGATCACCGGCAGTCCGCGCACCATGTCCTCTTTGCTGAGCTTGTGCAGCGCGTCAAAGTGGAGGTGGCCGTAGCGCTCATGCCAGCGCCACGCTTCATCATTCTTACGCACGGCGAGGCAGAGCGGCCGAGCAGCCTCAAGGTGGAGGACATAGAGACGATTGGCGCCGCGCTGGACCTTGACCAGAAGCTGGCCGCGCTGATCCCAGATCCTCAATACGCCCTTGTCGATCTCCACCTTTGAGCCGCCTTCATCCAGCTGGCCGAGGCTCATAATCGAATTGCGGAGTGCCGGGATGTAGTAGACGTCGTGAAGCACTCGGTACTTGCCGGTCTTCGCCTTGAAGATGAGCCGACGCCATGAATCTCCACCTTTGATGCGCCACCGAACTTCATCGTGCCTCTACCTTTGTAGTCGAGGTTGGTGAACAGCTCACGACGGCCTGTCATGTGGTGGGTGGCGCCGCTATTGAGGTACCAGCCATCGAGCTTGTCCTCGCTGGAGCCAGTGTTGAGGAAGACACGGGCTCTCGGCTCCTCGATGTCGAGGTCGACGGTGGACTCAGTGCAGAAGGTTGAAGCTTGCGCCTTGCCGCTGCTCCCTTCTGCATCTAACTCCAGGAATCCGTGCGCGAGAAACAGAGCAGCCTCCTCCTCTGCTTCTATGACATTCACCACGTCGCTCGCGCTCGCGCCGGGGATGGGGGCAATCCCTGACCCAGTGCCCAACGCGGTTGCAGTTGAGGCAGGTGTCATCGCGGTTCGCCGCTGCCGCCGCCTGCCTTGTCTGCCCCGCCGCCGTCGCGATCTCCCTTGGGCTTGTTCTTCTTGCCACCACAGGGACGCCGACGACGGTCCTTGGACGATCTAGTGCCATCCTCCTTCTCGAAGGCCTACCACTGCTCAGCGGTGTACAGCAGCTTGCATCCGACCGCACTCGGCTCAAAATCCGGCGCCTGCTCGTGGTCTTGCACCGCCTTGAGCCTCCCGATGACATCCTCCATGGAGACCTGCTCAAAATCGAGGAGCGTCTCGATCGACATGACGATCTGCGCGTACCTCTTTGGCATGCGGCAAAGAAATTTCTCTACCGCGCGCTCCTCCATGAGGTCGGTGTCGCCGTTGCGCGCCATCTTCTCCATCAGGTTGGTTAGCCGGAGAGCAAAGTCCTCAACTTGTTCTCCGGGCTGAAAGGCGAGGGCTTCTCACTCCCCATGAAGCCGCTGCAGCATCGCCCGCCGCACACGATCACATCCGAAGCGTGCCGCAGCGATCACCTCCCACCCCAGCTTCGCCGTGGGCTTGTTGGCGAGGGACGCACTAAGCTCGGTAGGGACGGCGGCGCACAAGGCCTCCAGTGCCCGGCGATCGTCGTCGTAGTCGACGCCGCCGACGTGGACCGCCACCCAGAGCCGCCATGCCTGAGGCTTGACCATCATCAGTAGGCTCCACTCGTGGTAGTTGGATTTGGTGAGCATCGGCCATGGCGTCCATGCTCCGGTGTCGCGGTAGATGGTCTGCAACACCGGGGAGCGTCCGTGGCAACCACGACGCCGCTTTGGTGACGGCGGCTGGCGGCGGCGCCCAGCCGGGCTGTGTGATCCTCCTCCCATCGGCTCCGGCTCCTCCCGCTCCATCTCGGCACGGAGCGCTGCAGCGGCAGCTACCGCGGCCTGAGCCTCAGCCGTTGCCTTTGCGGCAGCAAGGCGCGTCGTGTGGTCGCCGGCCCTGGCACCCGCTGCGCCACCACCGGGGTTGATCACTGCTCCTCCTCCGGCGGCGGCGCGCGCTTTGGCGATCTGGCTCTCGGTGGACATGGTGCTCACTCACTAGAACCCTAGGCTCTTCATACCAATTGTTGCCCAGACATGAACAAAAATGGATCTCAGATTTGGGGTAAGCCCAGAGGGCAGCTTGGCCACTAGGCCGCTTGGATTGAAACTGAAAGTTGCAAAGCTTGGGATACAAGATGGTCTGCCACTGCTTATATAGAGCAAAGTGGCTTTTGCTACTTCTCCCTACTCTAGCATATTCTGTTGTGTAAAGCAGATACCAAACTTGGGTGCTAAGCCACCTGAAAACACTTAGACAGTGAATAGTAAAAGCATGAAAATAAGATACAAGCAGCTAGGCTTAACTATCACCTAACATTGCACTTCTTACCACTGATAAGAGCTTGTGATAATAAATGAGCGTGTTATTATTGTAAAGGTTGCTGTGAGTGTTGATTGTTTGTGTGCTAATGATGTATTGTCATTTCATCATGTGACATGTGGACAATTATATGCTAGATATGATGATTATGAATTGGTTTTATCCTGTCATTACCAAAAAATGACTATTGTTGATAGTTTATGCATAGATATCCTCAAATGTAAAGTTTCTTCGGTAGTTTGTTTGTAATACTTTGTTTGGTTCATTTCCAGTTCCAAACTGTGTTAGTGTGGAAATCTTGGAGATGACCAAAATAGGGGAACAGTAGTGGAGGTTGACCATGTTGTGTTAGCCAGAATTCATATTTTTAGAGTTGGTCTGCACAAGCACTACTAATTCAGCAGAAAATACAACAATTAAACAAAATGTGCTAGTATATGTTTTCCTGGAGTTTTCCTTTGTTTTTTTGAGCGAGAGCAATTTTTTTTCCCAACACACTTAGATCTTATAATATCCACCTGAAACATTTCTTTTTAATTATTACTGATATGCAGCATTCCCTTTAACACAAGATGATTTACATAGGTTCCAACCATGATTCATATGAAGATAAAGAGAAAACTTTCCGGTTGTCAGTTGTCAGTTGTCACTGGTATATATATAGGGTAACACATTATAGGAGCAATGTGGACAGAGTACATTCATGACTATCTTGTAAAACTGCTACCCTAATAATTGAACTTATTGGAACCATTTCCCACAGGCCATCTAGTCTTTCACTGCTGTATGGCACACTTGTTTTGATGGCCATGTTCATGCCAGCCAAGTTATAATCATGTCCTGCAACCCATGCATCCAGACCTAAATGACTGTCAATAATTCATCAACTTCTAGTTCTAGGTTTCAATCAACCATAGGTTGGCTAGCTTCCTTGATTGAACTGAATATAGTGTACCTGGAAGAAAATACTGGTATGAAATACTAGTCAGATGCTACCTTTTCCTAGATGTCAGGTGTTTGCATTCTTTTCTGTTAATTTATTGAATTAGCTACTTTCATGCCTTTTCAGTCTAACCATTTAATTATTTGGTTAATTTCATCATCTGTTCAATTTACAAGGTTTGAATTTGTATACAATGCAGATGACTATGATCACTCAATAAATGAAGCCATCAAAATTTCAAAGTATGAAATGATTCCTTTCTTGATATGTCTTATTCAAAAGGAACATACTGTAGTATAATAATCTATTTAACATTCTTGTATAGGAAAAGAGAGGAGAACTCAGCTTGAGCTCGTTGCTACTACTACCAATAGAAGGGTGCTTCCTCCAAGATTGGAATCACCAAGCAATGGGAAGTTAAATGGCTCCTCACCAGCAACTAACAATTCGTATGGTGGAAATTATTTAGTCAGATGACTACCGATACAGTGATGGTGAACAAGAAAATGAGGCACTTGCTAGCAGGTTCTCTCTTAGCATATGTTTTTTTATCGTTACCCTACTCAAGGTAGTATGCAGCTCATGATCAATTGTGTTTTTGTGTCACAGCAGGTGGTGGAGAAAAAGTTCACAGAGTCAGAGATACAAGACTTTGTTAAGGCTGTCTCGGATATTGATCCTTTGACAGTGATGATGTCATGGGAGAAGCAGTGTATGATGAGGAATACCTGAGAAGTCGCAAACAGCAGCTGATATCAAGTGCTTCTGAAGAGGATGAAGAGTTCTGGTTGGAAGAAGATGAAGAAGAGGAATATTCGTTGAGTATCAGTGAAGATTTAGAAGAGCCACAACGGCATAAAAAAATTGGAAACTCGTGACTGGCGAGGTACCAAGATGAGATCTGTTGATGAAATCAGCTCTCAGGTGCAGCAAGCATTCTTCTCGTCCTCGTATTTACTATCGCCAGTTTGACTTTCTGGACTCTGATACAGAGCTTGGAAAGGCAAGGAAATCTGATGCATCAGGTACTGATGCTAGCTCCAATGCCAAGAATGATACAGAGCTCACGACATCGAGTAAGAGCAAGAGGAAGAAGAAGAGGAGGATAGTCCTGATGAAATGGTAATATTGCGAGTGATAAAATGGTAATATTGTGAGTGATAAAATGGAGGACTGCACTTTGGCAGAAAAATAAAGTAGAACCGGATGAGGAGCCGAAGGAGCAGCCGCAACAGCAGCCTGCAGAGAAGATGGATGCTCCAAGCAGGGAAAGTGGCAGTGTAGGCAGAACATTCCTAGATCTAAACGAGCTTGCACCTGGAGTTGGCTTTGACAATAGGCCAAGAAAGCTTGACAGTGAAAGATGGCTTGGTCGCTTAGATAACAGTTAGGATTTTTTTTTTGGGATATATTTGAATGCTGGTGGTTGGTTGTTTTTTTTTTTTTGAGTGGATGGTGGTTGTTATTCTGACTTTCAAGCAAGGGCAGATCAATGGGCCTGAAGGCCCTTAAAAAAGGGCCTGATGGCCTGTGAGGCTGTGATGAATGGTGCGAGATGTCTAATTCTGGTCAGTGGTCACTGTCTTCTGCCACTTCGCAATGCGGATTACTGAATCTCGAATGCTAGCGTGTGTTTTCATGCGTGTTTTCTGTTTTCATTTTCAAACACCAGCTTGTATTTCGTAATTTTAAGAGCTTGTGCTTTGTTTGCCACGCATAAAAGCTGTGCCAAGTGACAAAGTCCAGATTTTGGAAGTACCATGATAGTAGGTAGGACCACACTAAGGATGTGCCAGAAAAACAATAACAATTCGTTTCGGGACGCAGGAGAAAACAGAACTTCCATCATGACAGGATGAGTAGCTCTTGACATCATCAAACCAACAGATTGCGAACCGGGGCACTAACACTATCATACAAAATCTGATTCATTCGAAGCAAACAAGCTGCAGTCACATGTAAATTTTACAAAGAGTAAGGCCTTTAAACTGTTCTGTATTACGCTATCAATTTTTCTTATAGCTCAGGTACGCCTCTGCAACCGATCAAAACCCCACGCCCTCCCTAAATTACACTGGAGTCATCACTTTGGTCCAGCTTTCCCGAACGAATCACGGAGGGTAACAGTTCTGTTGAACACGAGCTTCTCGGGTGTGGAGTCCGTGTCCACGGCGAAGTAGCCTTGAATCCACATCAAAGTAGGACAATTAGTTGAGTTGTGAAAACCCATGAATGACTTAATATATAGGAGGTTCTCTAGCTCTGGGATTACCAAGCCGCTCAAACTGGAACTTGTCACCCAGAACTGCAGTGGCGAGTGATGGTACAGCATAAGCATCCTTTATCACCTCTTTGGAGTGCGGGTTAAGATCACCAAGCCAATCCTCCAATTCAGCAGGATTCTGTATGGTGAACAATGAAGATGTTGGTAAGCTTTATTTCAGTGGAGCAAGCCCTTGAAACGACAGTAAGATATTAAGGAGTACAATACCTCTGACATGAACAATTTCTCGAATAATCTTACTTCCACCTTCAATGGTTCGACACCAGGTGCTGGCTCAGAAACCCAGTGCAGAACACCCTGTACAAATCATGAGGCAAGTCAGCTATCTAGATTGCATTTTTTGTCTCCCAGCTAGATTTATCTTACTTGAAAAATGTCCAAATAGCAGAATCAAACCCAGATTTCAAAAAATTCCAATGAACTGATACCTTAAGTTTAGAAGTCTTCAAAGGATCGTATTCAGCTCGAATTTCAACCACATCATCAGGACTATCACCATAGATAACATCTGTGCATTTTATGGGGAACGCATACCTAGTAATTTAAGGGACCATGGCATGTCACTATTATATTGAGTAGCTATGATAGATAAGCAAGTAGATTCAGATCAACTCTCTTGAAAAAGGTACCTTAGCATGACAGATTTGCCAGGGGCTAGCCCATAGTAGTCTTTTGAGTCCTTTAAGCGAAAATCAGTTTTCTCAATGTAGACAGTTCTTGAGAACGGAACCTGCAATATAAGAAAATTTGATACATCTAATCAGTATGAAGATTTGATGTCCACAGATCAGTGAACTTATGAATTACTTATTGCAAATTTCACACAAGATTTTAAGTTGATGAGATTGTTCTTGTATCATACACTGGAAATGAGAGGTACCTTATAGTGGGAGGAAGCATCAGTATCAGAAGCATCAGGCCACATTTTCCCATCAAGGTCTAGTACTTTTCCTTCTTCCAAGTTGGTTATTACAACCTAAAGTTAAGTTAAAAGAGGTAGCACAATGAGTGATAGTGTTCTACTAAAGGATGACTTGATCTGGAACAGGAACTTAAAGCCAAACCTTTAGAGGGCGCAAAACAACCATGATTCGAGGGGCTGTTTTGTTAAGCTCTTCCCTGATGTGGTATTCTAGACGATCAACGCGAATTAAGCTATTGTCACTGCATAGAAAATACAACAGACACATCAGGAGAAAAAAAAACAGAACAATAGATGACAAAGCATGCCTACATACAAGTGTTCCATAACAGCAAATATGTATTTCTACCTTCTCGTTATGCCGATTCCACGGATAAACGAATTAATTGCAGTTGATGATACTCCCCGTCGCCGGAGTCCTGCCAGTGTCAACAAGCGGGGATCATCCCACCCATCTACCCACTTCTCTGTCACAAGTCGATTCAACTGCAGCAGAACATGGCAAGAAGTTGAAATGAACAATGATATGAAATTATTGATAATACTCTCTCCATTCCAAATTATAAGACGTTTTGGCTTTTCTAGATACATTGATTTTACTACGTATCTTGACATAGTGTATATCTAAATGCATAGCAAAAACTATGTATCTAGAAAAGTCAAAATGTCTTATAATTTGGAATGGAGGGAGTACATCATAACAACAAATATCATAGAATTGATCTCCTCATATTTAGCTTCAATAACATATATACCTTTCTTTTAGACATCACAGTATTTGATATGTTTAGCCTTGAATATTCCCACACATATGGTTGATAAAGGCCCAAGGCAACAAGTAGCCAGTAGTATGAAGGGCGACGTATGTCAAACTCAAGTGTGCACAGCTAACAAATAAGAAATAACAGACTTAGTTCCTGTTACTGTTAAACCAACTCAAAATTATTTTGGAAAAGAAAAAGAAAAGAAATTACCGAATGTGTGATGTTTTCAAGAGAATCCACCATGCAATGAGCGTAGTCGTAGCTCGGATAGATACACCACTTGTCACCAGCATGTGGATGAGGGGTGAACTGTATGTGTATAAACAATTAGTCCTGATGTTATATATTATGAAAAATAGATTATCAGTGATCACTGACGCTTACTTTTATTCTATATGCTATTAAATCAGACATATTTTTGTTCTCATTCTGCATGTCCTGCTTCATTCGGAGAGTTGCTGCACCCTCCACAATCAACCCACGCCTCATGTCTTCAAATAGTTTCAGTGACTCTTCAATTGACCTATCCCTCCATGGACTATTCATCTTCTTTTCCCTGTACTCCTTGATTTCTTCTGCGGTCTGGTAATTATATACAAGTCAGCATGCAGGCATTTGATTTCTCAAGGACTCAACATCAATATTCTTCTTTCCATGGTACCACAGGTATGTGCACTTCAATCACTGCTGGAGCAGAAAATGAACAGGTGAGGTGAAATGTACCTGGTGATCCACATAGGCTAGCCCTTTCCATATTAACTCAACAGCATGCTCATACAAAGCTTGGAAATAGTCACTCGTGTATGTTACTTTGTAGGGCTCCCATCCCATCCAATGGACAATTTCCTGAATGTGGTCTATGTATTCTTTCTTTTCAGCTTCCGGATTTGTGTCATCAAACCTGTTGTTCAAATAAACAAACGGTAATGAAAAAGAACTGCAGTAATAACAATGTCTTAAAACAAATCAAGCAGAACTGAGCACACGTCTCACAGGAATGTAGGGGTAAATAAATATCGTATAAACAAGACAAGCAAAAATTTCCAAGACCTACCAACAGAAGATTAGGAGGAAACAAAAATGAAAGGAAAACTCTTCTAATTTATTTTATATATACTACAATTACACCGAAGATTAACCTAAAGCAGCATTAACAGCCATGAATGCTTGTAGAAAGGTATGTTAGCTAGAGCAAACCATTCCCAAAAGAAATCTTATTACCTAAGGTAGCAATGGCCATTTCGCTCCTTAGCCAGACCAAAATCAATAAACATAGCCTGTGATGAAGCTTGTAAGCATATACATCAATTTTAAAATTTGGTGTGCAAGGAAAGGCATTCATGAAGGAGATTATGAAAACCTTGGCATGACCAATATGAAGATATCCATTAGGTTCCGGTGGAAAACGGGTCATCACTTTTCCTCCAGTTGCCTTAAGATGTTTTTCTAAAATTTCTTTTGTGTTATGCGCTCTCCATATGTTCCCATCGCTGTAAAATATTTCTGTATGAACCTAGAATCATAAAAAGATATCAGAAATTCAGAATCACTGAACAAAACTTATTATATGATGAAAAAAAGAAACAAATCAACGAACTGATCAATATGCCTGAGTGCCACAACTATGACTTGTATGTCAGAAAATAGTGGAGCATACCTTAAAGTTTTCCTCTGGTTGGGGAAATATAGTATATGGGTTCAATTCCTCCTCAGTTGGTGGTGCAGCAGTGGCAACTGCAACTTTTTTCTCCTGCATTTTACAGAAACCATAACTAAGTGGTCCAATAAATAAAACCGCACTAGTTTAAACTTGAATGGTACATATGATTGCCAACCTCAACTTTTGCTGGTTTTTCCTTCTTCTTTTTCACTGGTTTTATATTGTCAGCTTCAGTTTTCGGACCTAGGATTTCTACAAGCCTCTTGTCAATTTCCTCCTGTACAAGCAGAATATTCAGATGTTCAAAACCACTAAAAGACAACCAAAACAAATCGTGTGGTTTGTATAGATAATTGCTTTGCACCTTTATCGCCTTAGCATCACCCCAGGGGTGTCTCTTCCTAACCAGTCCGCATAGCATACCAACTGAAGAAAAGTCAAAAGGACAGGATTAAGTATTAGGTTCAACAATCATCCATCAGTAAATTACTAAACTAAGAACTATGAGCATAGTTATTATACATTCAATAGGATATAAAACAGTAAGCATAATGTGGATTTTGGTTCATAAAATTGCTTGCAATTTATCATGCGAGTTGAATTAGAGACCGAACCATTTATGTGATACCGCTGCTCCTTTATAGCTTCCATATTCTCCTCAAGAACGTCAGCAACAGTAGATTTAATTTCCTCAATAGAAACAACCACACCTGCAGGCACAGCATTGTGGTAGTTATAAGATGGCCAAGTGATATGGACTGAGGATAAACTATTAACAAAAGTAGTGTCTATTTCTTGTCCGAAAGTCAATCTTGTCAATGAAAGTCAATATTCTCTTAGCATCGATAATTTTCAGATGAAATGGGCCGATAGACTAAGAATAAACTATTTCCTGAGATAAGCCAAGCGACGTATCAGAAAATTCTAAGAACTATGCATGGCATGGAGTATAAAGAAGCATATTGATACAAGCCATTCAAAGGAAACATACCTACACCACATGCTTCTTCAAATTTGCCCACATCTAGAGAATCAGGACCAGTATTAGTAAGAAATGACAGAGCAGCATCTAGCTGTGCAGGGTTCTTTATCTGAAAAGGGGAATGTTCATGTTTAGATCATCAAGGCAATGAGTGGTGTAACAAAAAAAACATTTTGTCGGCACCCGCAAAATCAACTCACAGAAGTCAAGAATGAAAAGGGGGTAAAGGGTCTACCTTCGTTGACAAGATATAGCTAATAAGGACAGGGCGATGAACAAGTGCATTAGTTGGGTACTTGGTGGCGACCTGTTTCAACCATGAGCAAGTTGAGTTACACATGAAAAATCCTCAATGTATACATTTCTCATGATTCATTGGTCTAGGTGCTTACTGCATATAGAAGATTGCCAACTGACTTGTCGCATTCCTTTATACCAGCCTGTCAACAGGCAAACAAGACCAGTTAATTAAAGGGGAGAAGGAAGCAAATTTTGAAGAGATTGACGGTGTAACAAAATGTTAAAACAACAATTAGATAACAGCGAGGTTTAAGCTAGGGTAAGTCAATGGAGAAAGGGACAGTAGCAACTAGCCATATGATGTCTGAATTCCTATGTAGGTAACTTTTGACCAAGCAACAAGCTGATCACAGAAACAAAACTGACGAAATTAAGCCAGCGTGGACAAAATGGAGCTGCAATAGAACGTGTGAAGTGGGTAGCAGACTTGCAGAACGAGGAACCAAATTACACGCTACAGTTTAATAACGATCGGAGCTGGGAGGAACTAAATTGGGCAGCACGGATTCTAGCATCATATAACATATATACAAGGCGCATCAAACACCTGGGCAGCTAGTCTGCATCCAGAATTACAACGCCAAATCCCACATCATGTGGAACAAGTTAGCACAACCAAAATCAGACCCAAAACTCCGCATCAACGATAGAAACCCAGCACCCGCCGAGACACCCCGTGCGGCGAGGGCTCACCTCGGCTATGACGGCGGCGAGGTTGGCGGTGACCTTGTTGTTGACGAGCGCGTTCTCGGCGGTGCGCTGGTCGAGCCCGAGCGCCAGCAGCGCCTCCAGCGGCAGCGCCGGGCCCGGCTTGTCCCCGTCTCCCCCGGTGCCCATCCCCTCGTCAAACGGCCGCAGCCGCCTCGCGCTCCCTAGGGTTTAGGATTCCGGCGGGAGGAAAGGAGCAGTGGAGCGGCGGTGACGGACAGGAGGAGCTCGTGAGTCGTGCTACGATTGGGATTAGAGGTGTGTGATGTGGGTTTGGACTTTGGACTAAACCCAAGTGAAGACCCTATATATCGAGGCCCACTTGTACAGTCCGGGCCCACCAGCGAGGACGGAAGCCGGGGGCGCGTGCGGCGTGCCGGCGTGCGTCAGAGCGTCACGGCGTGCGACGGACTCCGTTTGGCTTCCGCTTTCCGTGACGCAAAGGACGGCTGGGATCATATCTTTTGACTACTGTGGTATTGCTTCGTGCGATCTGGGCCGTCCGGATATTTTTGGAATTTGTTTTCGAATGGATGGAAACTTGAGTTCCAAGATACTCTTCTATACAGTACGCGGGAGTGGCTGACCTGGCTGCAAAGGAATTGGATGAGTGTGGACCAGATCAAGGACTTGGCTGCCACGGAATCCGTCGGACCAGAATCGGATTCTAGAATCCATCCACCACGTTGCCAGAATCTCTTGTCTCACGTCCAGAGTGCTATGGAAGCTGAAAGCGATTGATGGAGCCATGGAGGCATGGAGTGATGATATGATATGATTTTGATGTGAGCCTGGAGCTTTAAACAGAAGCGAAAACGTCCTTTGTAGGAGTATTAGCGTAATTTGTACCAAGTACTCTTATACTCTAGAAAAGTAACATTCTGATTTTTTTCCCTAAAAAATTCCCCCGGTCAAAGACACGGGACATTTGATTGAAGTTTACTAAGCAACACACACTGCTCGTGCTTCTCTTTGGACACCGGGATTACAGTATAATAATATAGAGAGAGAGTTATGGACTAAGAAATATGTGTCAAAGTTAAAACCAAATTTGTCGCGTCGGACTCAATGGCGACTCTCGTTTCCTTTCTTTAAACGGCTGCATAGCATATTCTATTTCCATCTCTGTGTTGTGTTGGGGGATGCAGCTACGAACATAACAAGCTTTGCGTTGGCGCCGCCTATTGGAATGCACTACCGTATTTGAGTGCCCCCTTTGCTTCAAGAACATAGTATTGGACTACAACACAATCATATTCCTTTTTACATTCTTTTCAAGAATCTTATCATGGTGTTTTATTTATGCCTTTCTTATATATTATATATACACATAAGCAGTCGGGTAAGGTTTGTTTTAACCTGTAATTATCATGACGTAGTCCCTAAACTACAAAACCATACATCACATATATGGCAAATTAAAACATCGTACCCCAACTTAACCATAATGTCCATATGTGTTTGAGATGTGTGTGTTGCTTAGTAAACTTCAGCATTTGGGTTGTGGTGGATTGGAGTGCAACCAAACAAGTCCTCAATGCGTGTGGACTTAAAGTTGATCAGAGTGCAGCCAAATAAGGCCTTAAAGCAGGTTTCTATCCTATATGGCACTAGCTTTAACTTTGTGTCACCTTTTCGCGTCAGCACACAACACCTCCATTTTTCATCTCCCTTGTCTACTCTCTCTCACCGAGCACATCACATCAGCACATGCTTTATGAGTGTATAATGACCCAAGAGCCACCATTATCTTAACGGCATGACTAGCGTCCGGACGTCCGAACGGACGCCACGGCTGCTCTGCTTCGGCGCGTAGCGAGCAAACGACGCGGACCCGAGGTCACCACGCAGGCATCACGTAGCCATCGGCACACCCGGGCCACCACCTCTGCAGGCGTTCGCACACTCGTCGCCTCATCGGGTGGCGTTCCCCATCGAGCCGTGGCGAGATGGGAAGGAAGGAAGGGAAGGGAGGGAGAGGAGAGGAGAGGGCGAGGCGTGCCGCGCGAGGTAGGAGTCGAAGCCCTACGGCAGGCCGCTGTCCACTAGCATCGACGCCATTACAACATGTGCAACACCCCGATCTACTTTGAAAACATCCAGATGAAACATTTGTAACATACGTCTGAAGACAAATGAAACATTTGAAATATGCGTTTGAAACATTTACCAAAACATCTAAAAAACACTTGAAAAGCCACTGTAAAACATATGCACTATCCAGATAGCAACACCCAAAATAAACACACTTGCAACATGTTTCTCAACAAATAGATGAAACATTTGGAACACAGCTTGCAACATGCGAGTATAACCATTGCAACATCCTGATCTACTTTTTGCAACATTGTTGTGGAACACACCTCTGAAACATCTGACACACTTTAAACATACGGTTGCAACATGAGCTTTCAGCGCAATGTCACCTGGTTGCTTGGATGAATGGAGGCCTCGTTGTTGCGGAGCTCGACGCTGACGCGGAGGTCAGGGGTGGTGCATGGAGCTCGCCGGTGCCCCAACAGAGGCATTGCGCCACCCTGGGCGAGCACCTAGCGAGGCATGAGCACCCTGGGTGAGCACGGTGGCCTGGGTGAGCACCTGCGTGAGCCCACGAGCACGGCGGCCTGGGTGAGCACCTACGCGAGGCCACGAACACACTGGTGAGCTCGGCGGCTTGCTCGGCGAGGACCCCCTCCTAGGCGAGCATCCCTGACTGGCGAGCACCGCTGGTAGAGAGATTTTTTTAAAGGTTAATTGGATCTGTGCCATTATAACTCTGCTGTTTTTGAAGCACACCATTACTATTCGCGAAACTATGCCAGTGCCATTATAATTCTTGTGAAAGCTGAAACATGCCATTATATACGTATGCCGCGTCCTCGGGCCCATGTGCAGGTGTATGGACAATTTTGTATTTTCGTATAGACCAAAATACCCCTCCACTCTATCTCACTTACAGGTGGGCCCAATGTGTCATCCCCTTCCTCTCCCCTGAGCTGCTGATGTCCAACGTAGCCGTCGAGGAGCTCGGCCTCGGCTGCTGTTCCGTGCCCCAGCTCCAGCACCCTCACTCACTTGTGCTCTCCCTCTTGCTCGCCCTCGCAGCTCCCCATCGCCTCCCTCGCCCCTCTGTCCATGGCCTTGATCCACGACCGCCATGGCTGTCTTGCAGAAGCCAGCGCCCATCGCTTTTCCCCACCACCGCTCTGTCGTAGCCAAACCACCACCAGCAGCTCCACGACCCTTTCCTCTCCCTCGCGCACTCCCGTTCGAGCTGGCATCACCGTGCTGTGGATTTGGCTGCCCCTGTCCATGGTCGCCAGGAGATGGCGTGCCCTTGTCGTGCCACCGGGCGAGTAGGCGACCGGCTTTGCCGCGCCACCGCCGGGCGAGCGTGCGGGCGGGCTGCCGCGTCGGTCCAACCGAGCCGCCGCTGGGCGAGCGCGTGCACTCTGCTGCGCCGCCACCGACGAGCAGGCGGCCGCACCATGGCCGGCAAGCGCACGCAGGCGGCCCACCGCGCTACCGCCGGGAGAGAGCGCGGGGGGCTGCCTCGTCGGGCGAGGCCGTGTGTGCTGCTGTGACGCCACCGGACGAGGAGGCAGCAGCGCAATTGCCGGCGAGCGCACGCGCGGGTGGGTCGCCACAGGCGAGGGCGCAGGTGGGCCACCACACCATTGCTGCACTGCAGCCAGGCAAGCGTGTGGGCGGCGAAGTCGCGCCCCCGCTGCCAGCAGGTGACCGGAGACTAAGAAGACAACATAGAGAGAAGGTATGCAAGGCTGACGAGTGGGCCCCATGTGTCAGTGATTGTGAGAGAGAAGAGGAAGGAGGCAATCTTGTCCATACGGATATACAATGTCCTTCATACGTCTGTCAGTGGGCCCAAGTCGTCTTCAAGCGTACATAATGGCGTATCTCAAACATCTATAAAGTTATAACGAGAGTGGCATAGTTTCTTGAATACTAATGGTGTGTTTCAGAAACGGTAAAATTATAATGACACAGATCCAATTAACCCGTTTTTTAAAGAGAAGCGAACGAGAGCAAGCAGATGGCGCCGTAGCGAGTGGCTAGCGTTCGTCTATCCGGATGTCCTCGAAAGAGCATTATCGTTATCTTAATCAGTACTTAATTTAGTCTCCCCAAATGCTGATGGGGTAAGTTGTAGTCATTTCTACTCAGGTTGACCTCTAATCTGCTACATATATCATGGGTTTTGTTTATAGTGATCTAAAGAAGCTTTAGGCCTATGCTCTGAAGTCTGAAGAAGCAACGCATCTGTATTTGACAGAGTAATACCAGTAGCTTGTAATACTTCCTATTTATACACAACTAGCAGTCTGGTTTCTGTATATTTACATTTCACAGCAAAAATATACCAGTATAGACACTCACTCAGGGGCTGCATGTGCATTTATCATCTCTCTCTCTCTACGTATTCATGATCCCAGGTGCGAAAGTGTGTTCTTGGTCTGCACAATTATAGCTGTAGCTAAGCATGAGCATGCGCCAAGGTCAGGTCAGGTAGGGAGCTTTCTCCTAAGCCTGAAGGAAGGTCACAGCGGCTGGCTTGCGCTCGGCTCATGCGACAAAGAACTTCTTGATCTATTTATTGGCGGTGCAGTGCGCGCGCTATCTTGGCCTTTGCGATGTTCGCTCTCTCGCTTCTTCGCCCTAGGGGCTCTAGCCTCTCCATAATCCTTGAAGTCTTCTCATCCGGTGGCTTCACCGGAGAGACGGTGGCTTGGGGCGGGGAGATTTGTCAACAAAGCGAGCCTAGGATGGGGGTAGGGTTGGCAAAGTCGTCGTCAAGGTCGTCGATGATGATGAGCTTCTCCCTCCTCACCGATCTTTGGGAGAGACCTTCCCTTCTTGGTGGATCGATAGCTTGTTCTTGCTTGGAGTTATGAATGTTGATGTCCGAGGCTCATTTGAACGAGTGCAGATGGTCGTTGAGGCCTCGGTAGCGTCCTCAAAGTTGGTTCAGGAACATGCTTTCTTCCAGGTCCTGACATGTTGGTACCTGAGGTCAGCTGAACGAACCAACGTTGTGAGGGTCCTTCGGGGCACAGGATGGAGCAATTGATCTACAAAATAAAGTCGATCCAATCATGGGACATCTTATT